TTTTTTTTTTTTTTTTTTTTTTGGTTTTGTTTGGTTTGGATTTTCAAGGCAGGCCATCTCTCTGTGTGTATATATATGTAGCCTTGGCTGTCCTGGAACTTGTTCTGTAGACCAGTCTGGCCTGGAACTTAGGGATCCTCCTGCCTCTGCCTCCTGATCCTTTGATTAAAGGTATATGCCACCACTACCTAGCTCATTATCTTGTCTTAAACTGAGTTGGAACCAACTACACTGCTCTGTCCCGTACTATCCCATCTTCTTGCCTTTAAAAGCCTTCTTGAAAATGAACTCCATGTATGGTCTGCATGTGGTGTGCAGCATGTTTTGATGGGTGGATGCAAGGACAAGTCATTATTACAATTAAGACATGCGTAAGCTCCTTCCCTAGTCTGTGTCATTCACTGCCTGACCCCTAAGCCAACAGATCTGTTCTCCTTCTACAGACCATCTTGTTTGCCTAGAGTTCAGGATGAATCGAATTGTGCTCTGCACCTGAGAAGAGGGTTGGCTTGTTTGCTCAGGTAGTCCAGTAAATGTATGGTGTTATATTACTGGTGTTTTTACTTTCCCTCACAGCTGGAGAAAATGGCCAGAGGCTTTTTCGGTCACTGTCCTGTCTTCTGGATAAACCATGTGAGATACTTCTTAGCCCACTTTGTAATTCATCGCATTTCTGTTTAATTTAGGATAAAGGAGGCAGGGTTGAACCATTGAAGTCACTTATTTTTTTTTTGCTGTTGTTTTTTTAAAAAAGGTTTATTTATTTCATGTATGAATGTTTTGCTTGCATGGATGTCTATGCACCACATGTATGCAGTGCTCACAGAAGTCAGAAGAGGGCAGCAGATCCCCTGGAAGAGATGGTTGAGGGCCACCAGGTGGGTGACGGAACTGAGTCCAGGTTCTCTGCAAGAACAAGTACTCTTAACCACTGGCCCGTCTCTCCAGCCCCAGCGTGACCATTTTTGTCCTCAGGCTCCTCAACTCCTATCTTTATTCCGTTGATAAAAACTGGGTTAATGTGATCTCGTTGGACGAATCTCCAGTGTGAGAAAGGGCATACGTGCCTGAGGGGGTGGGGGGGAGAAGAAGACAAGGGACATCACTGCTGCTATTCTTGATTCTACTATAAAAGTGACAAGAAGCCTACGGACTGTCTTAAAACTGGGACTGATTCTGGTAATGCGCTTAGGAAAACAAACTTGGTTGGGAGGGACAGCCCTCCACCTCCCCCACGGGAGCCTGCATTTGCCCGCTATCTAGCCCAACAGATGAAAATACCACGGTTTTCAGTTACTGCTGGAAAATGAGATAGCATAGACTTCAACGCAGTGTGTAGTCTGCAGGAAAGAGCCCTGGAAGTTGTCTGTCTTTCTCTGCTCCCCGCCCACCCCGCTCCCACTGATGAGGAACAAATGTCTGGAAAGATGAAGTTCAAAGCGGTCTGTCCGGTTGGACGCAGTGAAAACAGGAAGCAAGGGCCTGGGGTAGGCACTTTTTCCAACACTTGAACTGTGTCTGGAATTTAAGTACTCCCCCCCCCCCGTTTCTTTTAAACCATTTTACTGTTTTGAGAAATTCATTCCTGCAAATAATGAATGTTGAGGAAATTCTCCCCATTCTCACCCTCCAGTTTGTCCAATTTTCCCTGCCAGTGTTATGTGCTGTTTGAAAATCCACTGAGCTCATTATGTGCTCTCTGCATGTGCAGAGATGTAGCGCCATCTACTGGACATGTGCAGTCCCGTCAGTGGTGCTGTTTGGGAAGGATGAGGAGGTGTGGCCATATAGGAGGAAGTGTGTCACTGGGTGGGATGAACTTTGAGGATTTAAGGATTCGAGTCATTTCTGATTCACCCTCTCTCTCTGCTTCCAGGTTGTGGTTCAAGATGTGAGCATCCAGTTCCTGCCACCCGCTGTCTCCTCTCTACCATCATGGACTCTAACCCTCTGGAACCACAAGCCCAAATAAACTCTTCTGTACTTTTCTTTGGTCATGATATTTTTGTCAAGAAATAGAAAAGTAACAAATAGAGACAGCCTTTCAATGACCACACCTTTTAAGAAAAACTGGCTCTTCAGCTGGGGAGTCCCATAAACCCTTTCTCCATGGCTGCATTGATCCTGTGCAGCTCTTGCGCATGCCGTCACAGCCACTGTGGTTTTATGCATGCAATGACCCTGCCTGTCCAGCAAATACTGTTTTGGGATAGATACCCACTATATCAATTCTCACAATCATTCTGCCTCCTCTCCCACGATGACCCCTGAGCTTTTAGAGGAGAAGATATAACACAGATGTCCCAGTTAGAACTAAGCCCTCCACAGCTAGAATTTAAATAGTTTTGATGAGAACCTAAATGTATTTAATAATGATGTCATAATTCAATGTAAAATGGGACCAAAGCTTTTAAGTATGGCTACAACTTAGCTTGAAACACAATATATCTCTTCTACTTCTTCCTCCAAGAGTAGAGTGACCCCGTAATGTTTACATTTCCAGTAGACATCAGTGTATGAATTCAGGTGGGGACAGTACTTTCTCAACCTCATGAGGTGTCACGCCTCCCTCCCCCAGGTCAGTTTAGAAAATAATAGGTGTCCATCATTAAACATAAGCCCATAATCCCATGCTGTCTGCTCAGCAGCTGGCATAAGAGGTAAGAAGTTAGCTGGAGCTGGTCTAAGCATACTCCTCAACCCTAGGATCTTGATAACCAATGCTGCAGGTGTATGTGTGTGTGTGGTGTGTGGTATGTGTGTATGTTGTGTGTGTTGTATTGCTGTGTGTGCTGTATGTTGTGTGTGTGGTATGTTTTGTGTGTGTATGTTATGTGGATGTGGTGTATGTGTGTGGTATGTTTGTGGTGTGTGGTGTGTGTGTACATGCTATGAATATCAACCAGTATTGCTTTATCAGCCCTGAGCACAACCCAGATGTATGGCCCTGTGGTACTGCCATCTTTTAATAGTCACTATCAGATTCTCTTCCTACTGAAAATCTCTCTTCTTACCTTTTACAGACTTCAGCTGTATTGTAACTCACCTTTGTGTTGCAATATGCTGAATGGCTTTAAGCATTTGGACTTGGTAACTATATCCGAGGAGTTTTGCTGCACAAGAATGAAAGAGTTAATGTTGAGTAACTAGTTGGTAATCAGCAAACTTGAAGGTCATTCAGGTTTGGTTCCTCCTTTATGAGCCTTTATAATATAGTTTGGGAACCCACGCCATATATTCCTGCTGACACAGTAATTTGAGGAAACACTTAGAAGGAAAAAAAGCATTACAGTTACTAGTCTTTAACATTTTCAATATAACCGAGGGTGATGGCACATGTCTTTAATCCCAGCACTCGGGAGGCAGAGGCAGGCGGATCTCTTTGAGTTCAAGTCCAGCCTGGTCTACAGAGTGAGTTCCAGGACAGCCAGAGCTGCTACACAGAGAAACCCTGACTCAAAAAACAAACAAAAAAAAATTTAAAGATAGCTATAGACTAAACTAAGGATAAGGTGGCGGTATCTTTATTTTGGCTCATCAAGGGAAGATACTTCCCCTTGGGAAAACACGGGCATTTTTATAGACTTATTTCAATTTTCTTTAACTCCTTTTGTTTTGGTTTTTTTTTTTTTTTTTTTTTTTTGTTTGTTTGTTTGTTTGGTTGGTTGGTTTTGTTTTTTGGGACAGGGTTTCTCTGTGTAACAGCCCTGGCTGTCCTGGAACTCACTCTGTAGACCAGGCTGGCCTTGGATTCACAGAGATCTTCATGCCTCTGCCTCTGAGTGCTGAGATTAAAGGTGTGTGCTACCACACCCGGCTTCTTTAACATCTTTTAATCTGCTCTATTGCATGATGTTGGTGTTTGGTGGTGTTATTTTGGTTTGGTTTGGTTCTTGAGGCAGGGTCTCACTGTAGCTCTGGCTAGCCTGGAACTCATAAAGAACATACTGCCCCTGCCTCTTGAGTGGTGGGATGAGCTTAAAGACATGCACTGCCACACAATCAAAGAGTGGACTCTAAATTCTGTCTTGACTATGGGTGAAAGCATGCCCTCATGGAAAACCGAAATATCTTAAAATTACCATCAAACAAGAAGCCTGGTTATAAATTATCTATCTGTCTATCTATCCATCTATCTATCTATCTATCTATCTATCTATCTATCTATCTATTTATAAACAGGTTTTCTCTGCAGCTTTGGAGCCTATCCTGGAACTTGCTTTGTAGACCAGGTTGGCCTCGAACTCACAGAGATCCCCCTGCCTCTGCCCCCTGTGTACTGGGATTAAAGGCGTGCATCACCATCACAAGACTACTTCATTCTTCTTACCTTTTGCAATCCTTGGATAGGAAAATGCCAAGCCAGAAAGCTATCAGTCCCAGTGACTTTATGGAAGAGTACAAAGGCTGCCTACGCAAACAGGCTGGCACAGTGGTCCCGTTGGCTGTTGTACACAACTTAGCCCTCAAACTGTTAAGCCCGACATTGTCCATCCTTACCTATGAGGGTGTCTTCTTCAACAATGGTCTCTCTGTCTCTTGCCTATTCTCACCCCGTAAGAGCGTGGTCCACCACAGTGATCTCCCTTGCCCTTCTCCATGATCGTGCCTGCGAGTGCCTTGTATTATTCCTTAGTGAACTCTGTCTGTCTTCAGTGTTTCATCTCCTGACTCTTGATGTCACTAACAACCTCTAATTCCATGTGCATAGGCTATGATTCTATTTTAAAGGAGATAGGATAGTCACTCATTCATTCCTTCATCTGCCTTTTAAAGTATTGTGAATGCCTGAGTTCATTTCCAAATGAACTGTGTTTCTGGACCTTTACAATTCCAGGAACCAACTAGGAAGTGGCTTTGAAGGAAATGATACCCCTTTTCATACCCGTGCTTATACTTCATTGATTTCTACCTTTGCTACCAGAAATGAAAGAGCTAATGTTTGTTGTAAACATAGCACCTGGTACAGCTTTGCCTTACTCTTGTACAACTCAGCATTAAGCTCTGTGAGTAATCCATTGCATATAGGTAGACAGACACTGGAGGCTGTGATAATTTAGAAATCGAATCACAGGCCTTGAAAGAGGGTACAGCAGTTGGCAACACTTGCTGCTTGCTCTCCAGGAACCGGGGTTCAATTCCCAGCACCCATATGGTGGCTTACAAGGATTTGTATCTCCAGCACCAGGGGACCACGGCCTTGGTGAACATCAAACATGAACATAGTGAACATACTTACATACATGTAGTCAAAACAGTCATATGCATACAATAAAAATAAATATGTTTTAAAAAATTAAAACTGAGCCCTTAAGCTGAAATAAGATGATTCGAGCAAAGACAAGCACGTCTTAGGAAGTTGAATAGTGTTTAGATTTTCCATTTGTTAATATTTATTCATCATTCTCTCATACTGAGAGCTCTGGCTTGCTGCACACTGTTGCAAGCATCAGGAATACAGGAAGGAATCCTTTCCATTCCCGCTTTCATTCCATAGGAAATGGACGCTAAACCAGGAAGGGAGACACAGGTTCAGCAACACCCGTCTGCCGAGCAGCCTCTGCAGAACACAGAGTAGATGGTCCTTACCGAGAACATCACTGGCTTCCTCTTCCATCCTTTCTGCCATGTCTTTCTTATATCTTCAGTGTCCTTTCCCCTCCATCACCTCATCGCCCTCTCTCGGTGACTTCTCAGCATCCTACCCCCACCTGGACCTGCTGCTCAGGTCCCTCATTCAGACAGGCCTTGAGTCAACAAGAGGCCACTCTTGCTGTCTTTATTTTGCTTATGAATCTGTCTCCCTGGGACTCCTGTTCCTTCCATTATCTTCACTCAGTTGCTGTCCAAATCCCACGAGTTTAACGAGCCCACTGCTTTTGGTCCTGTGTTTAAACTTTGCCCCCTTCCTTTCTCGTGTTCCTGTCTCTCACCAGGCTCTTGATCTTAAATGCTATTGCTTCCGATGCTGCCTACATGCATATGGCTGTGTGTAGGGGAACAAGAGTGCAACGCCCACTGAGGCCGACAGGTGTCACCGAACTCCCTGGAGCTGGTTTGTGAAACACCTGTGTGGGAGGCTGGGAGTGGAACCTGGGTTCTCTGCAAGACCTTAATGAGATCTTAACCACCAAGCCATTTTTTTCCTAGCCCCTATCTCTGCTTCACTTTCTAATAATCCATAATCTGAGTACTTGGGGTTTTTATTTTTCATTCAAATTCCCTCAGACAGAGCAAGAGACAACCACTGTGTGGGTTAGTTTTGATTATTGACGTGACATAGCCAGGGCCACCTAGAAAGGGAATCTCAATACTCATCTACCTTAGACTGACACAGAGGCCTGCCTGTGAGGGAAAATATTAATGACGCACCCTGAGCTGTGTAAAAGTGACAAGGTGAGCTGAGCACACGCTCCTGTTCTCTCTCTCTCTCTCTCTCTCTCTCTCTCTCTCTCTCTCTCTCTCACCTGCTCCTGACCATAGGCTGGCTGCTTTGGGCTCCTGCCACCTTGACTGCACTCTAACAAATGAGCTAGGGGTGTGAGCCAAACAAAGCCTTCCTTGTTTTTTTTTTCTGATAGTCTATCACAGAAACAGGAAGTGAAGGAAGGACCCTCATTTAACCAGACAACCAAAAATATCTCATTTTTAACCACCTGGCCTGAATCAAAATGGGGAGGGGCCGTGGATGCAGAGGAAACAGGCCCTTGCTCAGTGACCACCATTGTCTAGTGAGCACCTGACGTGGCAGGGAGACACGGTGCCAGGCATTGGAGCCTTTGCTTCTGTTTTTTCATTTCACTTGAGGATGTTTTTCTGTCTTAAGTTTTCAATGAGGAAAACACCAACTTCCTTCTCTGAAGGGTAGGGAGTGCCCTGCCCCATTTTATTCACTGATAAGTATTCTTTCCTGTAACTTCCTCCTTTTCCTGAGACTACCTAACAACGTCAGTTCACGCCTTCTGTTCCGGGCGATTTGAGTTCAAGACATACTATTGAAATCACAGACTGGATGAATCTCTTTGAGTCACTACGAAACTTTCCTCACACCTATAGCCCGTGGGGTCCAAGTCAAAGCACAGTGACCAGGATGGGATGTGCTCCTTACATCCAGAGCAGTAGTTATCCAATGGAGATGGAGGACATCCTAGGATGACTTCCTCACTGAACTGAGCTTTATTCTACTGTGTTTGTTGTGCGTGTGTGAGTACGCCACATGTGCATGGGTGTGCACAAAGGCTAGAAGAATGTGTCAGATCTCTTAAAGCTGGAGTGTCAGATGGTTATGAGGCGCCTCCTGTTGGTGCTAGGGACCAAACTCGGAGAGAATAGCAAGTGCTCCTAACCACTGAGCTGCCTCCCCAGCCTGTAATTTTGCCTTTGTTTTCATTTCATATTGCCAAGGTGATTTTTATCAAGGAAAACACTGAATTGGTGCTTGCTCACAGTTTCAGAGGGCGAGTCCATTATCGTCATATCAGGTCGGGGGTGTGGCAGCAGGAGGCAAAGATGCTAAGATGCTACCTGTGGCCTTCTCGAGACACTGCTCCACTGTATGCCACTCTCCTCTCCGAGCCCTCCCTCCCCTTTCTTCATGCCCAGGCTTAAATCTGCCTTAGCATGTTTTCTTAACAAATTCCAATCCTGCTTCATACTGGCCTGCCTCGTGAGTCTTTTCTGCATTCTGTGTTAAGAATACCACCTTAAAACAGAGCTGACAGCGTCTCTGAACTCTCTGGCCACACCAGTGGCTGGCGGCAGCACAGAGCTACATCTCCGCAGCCCTGACGCAACACCAGAAGTCTCGCAGGTTTCAAGCCTTCCTATGCAGTTACCCAGGCCCTCCTGACTTTTGTAGCTCTCTATCTATCCGTCAGCCCTGGCTGGGCACCATACCAAGTAAAGATGCCAGAAAAAATAAGGGCCTTGCACAGAAGTTGAGTTAGCCACAGACAACAGAGGGGAAAACACAAAGCTGGGACTTCATGCCTCAGAGATGAAGGTCATTCATTACCTTTGATGTTTGCTTCCAGGAACTTAATGGAGTCAACTTGTCCGACAGAAGTTGCCGCAGCTGTCAGGGCATAAAGCAAGAAAAATGACGAAAAGAGACAGATGATTGGACATCAGCGTGCTAGGAAAACAGCACCCTTTGAAGCTGTTAATTATCAACACTGCTTCTAAGAAACACTTCTAGACCATTAGCACAAACACACAGTAGAAGGCTCTCACAACCTTGCTCCCGAGATGCAAGACAGGAATGGAACATGAAGCAACAGTATCTAACATAGGAACGCATGAACATCTGGCAATCGTTGCTGGGGGGAAGTTTATTCACGGAGGGAAGGGTTTCCTAACGTGCATCTGGTAGGAATGCGACAACCTTTACAATCTTTAGAGAACTGCCTGTCTGTAAACAGGTGGTAATATATGGCAAATGGGTTTACAAGAAAATCTTTTCTATTTTTAGTGTTATTTATTGATTTATGTGTAGTGGCATTTCATTTGTATTTTAATAAACAAAAACTTGACTGAAGCTCAGAGAGTAAAACAGCCCCACTGATCAGCCTTATAGACCAGGCAGTGGTAACACACCTTTAATCCCAGTAGCCACACTAGTTACCATAGAAACTGGGCGGTGTGCATGCTTTTAATCCCAGTGGTGCACATTTTTTAAGCCCAGTCCTAGAGAAGATTGTAAGATGGGAGGAGACAGCTCTCAGCCTCAGTCTCATTCTGAGATTCCTGGAGGAAGGGTGGCCATTTTCGGGCTGAGGTCAAGGTAAGCAGTGACTGTTTGCTTTGCTTTTCGCTTCTTCAGGTTGAACCCCAATTTCTCCCCCTGAGTTTTTATTAATCATGCTTCTTTTGTGTGTTTTTTGGCATGCATGTCTGTACACCATGTGTATGCTCAGGGCCTATGGAGGCCAGAAGAAGCATCTGGTCCCCTGGAATGGGAGGTATAGGTGGCTGTTAAGTCACCATGTGAGTGTTGGGAGTCACACATGGGTCCTCTGAAAGAGCAACTCAAGCCCCAATAATAAAATCTTTTTGTGTTCTGACTAAAACATCAATTACTGCCTTTACCTCTTAATACAACTGCTTGCTGCTTGGGAGGAAAAATGAAGAGATGTGGTTCTTTATAATTTTTTTCCTATTTATCTTTCACTAGGACTAATAGTCCTTTGTTGGGAATTTTGTTTCAAGTGAGAAACCACTGAGTACTCAACAGCCTGGAAATGTAGACGCTGTATCCTTTCCACATATTTTAAATAAATAGGCAAAGGAAGTCAAGGCACAAAAGAGAATTAATCCCCTCAGAAAGCAATTTGATCCTTGATCCATTGCCAGAGCATAATTTAAATTAAAAAGAGATTTTCCTGCCTACTTTTGAGACAGAATCTCACTGCTCTAGCTGGTCTGTAACTCTATGTGTACCACAAACTGGCTTGAAACTTGCAATCCTCCTGCCTTGGCTTTCTGAGTTACTAGGATTATAAATATGTACCCACCACACCAGGCTTAGAAAGAACAACTGTAAAAAGCCCCCCCCTTCTCTCTCTCCTCTCTCCCTCTCTTTCCCCTCTGTCTTTGTCTCTTCTCTCTCCTCCCTCTCCCTCTCTCTCCCCCTCCTTCCCTTATTCTCTCTCTTCCCTCTCTCTTCTCTCCTCCCCTTCCCTCTCTTCCCTACTTATCTCTATCCCCTTCCCCTCTCTCCCCTCCCCCCTCTTCTCTCTCTCTGCTCCCCTTCCCCCTCTCTTCCCTCCTTATCTCTCTCCCCTCCTCTCCCTCTCTCCCTTCCCCTCTCTTTCTCTCCCCCTCCCTCTCTCTCCCCTCCCTCTCCCTCTCTCTTCTCTCTCCTCTCTCTCTCTCTCTCTGCTGTGATGTTCACTTTACTTGTGAATGAATCTATATACTTCATCAGCAAGGATAGCTTATGTCCTTTGTATCCTGGATGATTCTGCCTTTTGTGAAATTATAGAATTTATTACCTAAGTACCCATCATGTATATGACAAAGGCCTTGGATGAACTGAAGGGAAGTTTTTAAATATGCCTGCAATAGTGAATGAAGGGAGAAATGAATATACACATACCTTATTATCCAAGAGAATTCCAAAACAGAAGATGAAAAATCCCTTTAACAACCAAAGCAAAGAGTAAATCATATGTATTATATTGTGTTTGCTTTTCCAGACAAGAAGTAATCTATATAATATATGGCCCAATTTTATCACCCTGTTTGATACCTTATATTCTAATATTATTTTTTTTCTCCTTTGGAAGGTAATGCCAAATTCTATAACCCAGAATTTAGACTGGCTAGACTGGTACTTACTCTGTAGCCCAGACTGGTCTCTAAGTTGTGATTCTTCTGCCTCTACCCCTGGGTTGCAGGCATGTAAGCCCTAGGGTTATAGGCATGCACTATATGCTCAATGTGAGCTTGTTTTCTCTCTGCCCTCCTGCTGGACTATAGGCTTCTGGGAGGCAAGAATAGTGTGAGCTCTACGGCGCTTGGCACATCCCAAAGTGCTCACAGAGTGCTTTGTCATGAGTGTGTTAATGTGCAAAGGATTGAATAAATGAAGGTGTAAACTCCAGTGGAAACTTTATCCTCCGCTATGGTGTCATTCAACGCCCCAATGACTGCCGTTATCTTAGTCTTTCTTTAGACCAAGCATTTAGTAAGCATTTATCATTGATAGTAGCAGGCACTGAACTTCAGCATCCCTATGCCCAGGAGGAGGAGCGAGGTCTCTATGAGTAACCTGCTCTTCAAGCATGTCTCTTAGCAAGTCTTGGCAAAAGCTTTCTCCCTCTCCTTCAGAGAACCTTTCATCTGTGTTTGTCAAATAGCACGCCACTCCCAAGCCTGCTCTTCCTAGGGCTCTCAAGCCCTGTCCCCATTGGGAGCATGCTCTCTGTGACTACATCTACACCACCGCCTGCACGTGGACTGCTGTGTTGTCTGGTGCATCACCTCTAGGGAACTCTCAAAGCATTTACTGAGTCTGCGGCACTGTGTGTGCCAGCTGCTGATTTACCACTCCCAATCCTCAAAATTGCTCTATAAGCAGAACTGTGGTCCTTGCTCATCAGCTGAGGGAACTGAGGGATGGGGAGGTTAAGCACACAGTTGATATACGAGAGAAAAGAACCTGAAAGTAAGACTAGCGTTTCCCCAAGTCATTGTCCCAGGTCATTGTCCCCAAGTCATTTCCCCAAGTCATTGTGGCCTTACCTGCAATAAAATGGCTGGAGACTTTCTTCAAGTATATCAAAACCTAAGGATTATTTTTCGCATTTATTCTGAACACTCTCTGACCATGGAATATAAATGCCATCCTTAGTAGTATGGATCAGCTAGTTTGTTTTTTTTTTGGGGGGGGGGGGTAAAGACTATCTTGTAAGTCTTAGGGGCTTTGGAAGACACACACCATCTGTTTCAGTTCCTCTGCTATTGGGAGAAAAGAGCCATAGACCCTATGTGTACTAACAAACACAGCTATGTTCCACGAACATGTCATTTACAAAATCTGCCTGTTGGTGTCGGGTTGCTGGCCTCTGTTTATTAAATTCTCGGGACTTGCTTTGTATCAGTCAAGGCCAACAGGTACTTATGAGTCATTCTCTTTCTCTGCTTTGTCAGAGATTTCTATGAGAGGATGAGGATCAAGTCAACCCCAAGAGATTAGGTATGTGAACTCTAATAGATTTAAGCTCTGCCATGGGTTACTGGGAAAGTTCGGAATGCTGCTTTGGTACGACATGAACTGCTGAAGAAATGGATGGGTTTGTCTTGTCTCTGTTTCCACGCACTTTGTGTTAGAGCTGGGGAGTTGAGATCACCTCCATCCACCAACCCTAGCTCTCTAGGAATATGGCAGTGTTCGGTTGGAACCTCCTGCTTGCACCTGCATGGTCTGAGAAGCCTCATCTCTCTCTCTCTCTCTCTCTCTCTCTCTCTCTCTCTCTCTCTCTCTCTCTCTCTCCCCCTCCCTCCTTCCCTCCCTCCCTCCCTCCAAACCCTCTCACAGAATCGCCAACAAAGAAAAGGCACCAAAAGCCCAGTTCCCCCGTTCCTGGTGGCAGCAGTTGCTCCTCCCCTGAAGCCACCCAAGTCCCCAACTAAAGCATTCAGCTTTTGACCATTGGGCACAAGCTTAGCTTGTGATGGACCTGCCATCACCCCGCACCTACAGACTGCTTTAGTTCACACGTGTGACTTCTCCTGCCTCTATTTCTGGGACTGGAAAACTCACTCAAGAGTTGCTTTGCTCAAATAAACCTGTTCTTTTCCTTTTTCAATTCAACTTGATCTGGCTTGCTGCATCATCAGAGAAACCTATTAATGGGCTACAGAAAGCCTATTACGCAGGAATGCATAATACAACTTCTTATTGTTCTTACCTGGAAAGCATTGAGTAAAGCAAAAAGAACGTGCCAAGCCAGGTTCTGGCTGTCCACCATCGTTCCTATCCCGAAGCCCCAGGTGAGCCCTAGCAGTGGGGTCAGAACGAGGAGGCTCTTTCCCATGCGGATGGCGATGACCTTGTCGTCCCGACTCAGTCTGTCTCCAACTGCTGGCCTCCAGAGTTTCCTAAGGACCAGCAGCACCACAGTCAAGTTCACAGCCACAATAGTCAATGCAGGAACAACGAACGCCAAGAGAGGTTTGCTCTCGTCCGACCAGTTAAGCCAACACACGTTGTTCCTTCGGTAGCTGTTGCTAGGCTGGGTGACTGCAATGGTGATGATGGATATAAGGAGAGGGCACCCATAGCCCAGGCAGAACCCTATAGCCATCATGGTGGGCATAGCCACGTGATGGAACACGAACACGATGCGGTAAGCCAGCAGGATGCCGAGCGCGAGCATCCAGAAGAACAAAGCGAGGTAGAAGAAGTGGGTGAGGAACACTGCGGCTACACAGACACCAGAAGCGCTGGCGGTGGGGTCGACAATGGCAGCAACGATAAACCAGACATCAGCAATTAAGAGAGACAGGGCGGTGTTCACCAGGCAAACATGACGTGTGTATGAGGTTTGGCTTTTCTTGGTTTGCTTCCAAAACAGAAACTCGATGATCAGGCATAAGAGTAGGCTTGCAATGGAGATGCCCAACCCTATGTAAGTGATCCATTTCACCACAGGGACAACCGAGGAGGGGACAAGGGGAGACATCAGCATGGAGAAGGCCGTCAGGTGAGTACATCGGCACAGGACTGTGTCTGCACTTTCGTTAACTAGCTGGCAGCCTGCATCGCCCCATTGCAAGTGACTAAAATCCCAAAACACACAATGAGGTTGGCTCAGGTTTCCCTTTATCTTGGAAAGGTTCAGGAAAATTTCATTGATGGAATAGTTTTGGATCAGAGTGGATATCACAGGCCCGTTGATCTGTGCACTTCCGCTGTGGGTGGTGGGTAGAATGCTCCCAAAGGTCAATGAGGTCATGCTGATAATAGTCTTTGGCTGGGGTTTCTGGAATTGCTCTGGTTTGATAAGCACGTGACCCTGGATGGGCTGAGAGGCGTTTTGCTGTCTCATATCAATCTGGTAGTTGTAACCCTGTGTGCTTTGGATCTGGGTAACTGGAATCCCTTTCCAGTCGATGAATGTTTGAGAAAAATGAAGAGGCAGATTACTGGAAGGTACCAGAATGCTGGTGATCTCCAGAGCCTCCAGCAGCTGGGAGCTGGTACTCCTGTCTTCTTGGGATAAAATTGTCCAGTTAGCTATGGAGGCTGAATCCAGGATGTGATTGGCTATGTTGATGACATTCTGAAACACAAGAGTCCAAGTCAGTTTAGGTCTCCTGAGACTGGAGAGCTGAGAGTGGACGGCCGCTCTTATTAAGGGGAAATGGTCATAGAATTGGTGGGCTGAGGATCACAGTAAAACTCTTAATTCTTATTACTTCAGCTCCATCACTCAATACAGTAGAAGTGCTTGGGTAAAGAAACTCAGGTCAAGGTAGTAAGATACCATCTCAGTGGGTAGGGTGTCTGTCGGCTGTGAATCCTGGCGACCTGAGTTCAATTCCCAGAACCCACAGGATTAAAGGAGAGCACCAACTCCCACAGGTGGTCCTCTGGTCTCCATCCACACACTATGGTGTATGCCCCGTCCCACAAACACCATAAATAAAATGACTTTTTAAAGTTGTGTTCAGTGTGGTCACCCAAGGAATCTGCAATCGCAGTAGGACTTTCCTTTAGCATGGAGGAACAGGCATTGCACACCACGCAAGTTCCTTTATCTTTATCCCTGAGATGGGGGGAGAACAGGTGAACACGCTACATGGAGAGAGATGCTTTCACTGGTTAATATACTACATAGGGAGAGACAACTGTTCTGGTGAACACGCCACATGGGGAGAGGAGATGGCTGCCCTGGTGAGCATGCTACATGGGGAGAGACGACTGTCCTGGTGAACATGTTACGTGTGGAGAGATGACCGCCCTGGTGAACACGCCACATGGGGAGAGATGCTTGCACTAGTGAACATACTACATGGGGAGAGACAACTGCCCTAATGATCAGCACAAAGACAGACGTGTGACTTCCAACAGTTCCCCCCACACACACACTTTGCTTCTTTCGCTAACGTTAGAATATGCTTTTGTTTTATCACATCATACTTTATTTTATTACTGTCCCTGAGAGCCCCGTTCTTTTCTGATGAGAGCCCAAAAAAGGGAGAATCCGGAAGGGAGGAGAGGTGGGAAGAACTGGTTAGAGCAGAGGAGGAAAGGGCTGCAATCAAGACACAGTGTATGAAAACATCTATTTTCAATCTTAAAAAAAAATGGGGAGAGGTTTGTAAATTCATGGTATGGATGCTCAGATTTTAATTCCTGGGTTTTTGGTGTTGTTTACTGCTTCCGCCTATCAACAGAGAGCCTCAAAAATATTATCATGTTATTGTAATTTAAATATCTAAACTAAAGCAGCCAAGAGAAAGAAGTTCTTAAATTGAACACTGTTAAGTTCAGAATTCGCAGTCACAGGGAGGGCTGGAGAGATGGCTTAGAGGTTAAGAGCATTGCCTCTCTTCCTAGAGGTCCTGAGTTCAATTCCTGGCAACCACATGGTGGCTCACAGTCACAGGGAAAAACTATAGATTGCATATGACAAGGACTAGGGGTGTAGCAAGCATCGGGCCCTAGGTTCATTCCCTACTATGGGATCTGGGGAGGGAAGAAATAAAATATTAATGCCCATGTTCAACAGTGAAGGAGTTTACCCCCTCCGCTAAGCCTGAACCTTCCCAAGCAGCCTGTTCATGGGCAGATCTGAATTGAGTCTGTTGATCTTGAGTTCACTGCATACTGTGGAAACGCCAAAGAAACTCACACGGGGACTGCTACATGGCTTCCCTGTTGTTCTCGAGTTTCCCCATCATCCAGGCTCACTTCCTACAAGATGTAGCATTTAAAATGAGACCTTCCACTTGGGTGTAGTGGAATAGGCCTACAGTCCTAGCACTTGGAAGGTGAAACCAGGATGCTTTCCAGGAGTTCGAGGTTAGCCTGACCTGTGTATTTTATGTCAGGTCAGCCAAAGCCACATTGTAAGACCCAGCCTCAAAATATGCTAAATAAATAGTGTAGAAATGTCGTACCTGCAGGGTCAAATTAGACACCCTTAAAGAGTTCTTCAGCGACAGGGATGACACGCCCCTCAGGAGCGACACCACAGAAGACAGAGTCCCAGCCGTGGTGGACGGGCTTTGCTGAACAATGGCAGAAAGGTTTTGTACCAAAGATGACACGTCTGCCTCTGTGACATTGCTTGACAACATACTGAAATTCTTAGAAAGAAGAAAGAAAGATTATGCTCTAGGGGAGAACCCAGAAATGCTTGTACATCATTAGACTCAAATCAGACGTCTTGGCTACAGAGCAAACAGCGCAGTGTATCAGCAGGTAACTCTACAGGAGCGGCAACAAAAATAGCTTGGTTCAGGGACTCCCATATTCTAAATCCTTGGCCAAATGCTTAATAATGCCTAATAGGAAATTGTTGATTGAGCCTCTTAAACACTCTTTGGCGGAAAGCAGTATTATTATTGATATTTTAGTTCTAAGGAAGCTGGGTCATGAAAAAATTTTCTGAAAAAATTTTCAAATGCATCACCATCTCAATAATGGGAAGATGGATAATGATTGAGATTTGGTGACTTGGCAAGGAGTGGAGTATTCATTTAAAAGTGGTACTGCCAGTACCAAGCTCTGCCAGGGCTAATCCTATGTTTTCTGTACAGAGTGAGCAGAAAGATGGGCACATATGCCAATATGACTACTGGACGCGGTCCATCCCCACTGTGTTGCTGGTTTTAGAGTGTCACCTCTTCCTTCCAGGCCTGTCTACTTCTGTTTTGCTAGGATAACTGAGAGAGTAGCAAGCAGGAGTGTTTGCTTCCATCAGGACAAGTTGACCAGGATCCCAGATCCCACTCAACCTCCTTGTACATCTCAGCTGCCTGTACCGCTCTCAGTGGGAATGCACATCAAGGATCAATAAGTTCTAACTATTGCCGTGTTCAGAACTGGGGCAAAGAAGGACAGGGCAAGACTAGACTTCAGTGGCCAACTGCTCTTAGTTTATAGATGAGGAACACAGAGAGCGGAAGGGACTGGCAACTGCTCCAGGATGCTTTGACAGTTAGCCCTCTTTGGTATTCTCTATTGTGGGAGGAAGGATGCTGGCTGGGATGGAAGTGCTACCCAAAATGGAGGTCCGCTACAAGAGCAATGTCTGAGCCAGTCTAGAAGACGTGTTTCCTTGTGGTTTCAGTTCTTTTGTTCCTGACCTTTTTTCTTTCTCTTTTCTCTCTCTCTCTCTCTCTCTCTCTCTCTCTCTCTAGAAAAAGCTAAAATGGAAGCCACAGCATTGGGAGAGGAATTAACAACCCTGTTTCTAGTTCACTATTATTGTTAACAGATGGACCACGGTCATTTGCTTCCTGAATACTTACATTTACACTTATATTATATTTATATTTATGTTTAAATGCAAGGCCTGTTGTATGGGTCTCCCTTCCATCCAACCTACTCACTATTCAAGAGGAAATATTTGTACAATCTCGCTTACATTAAGTATATTGCTCTGACTCAAGCTTCCCCCTAACCTTCAATTCCAAGGCCTCTTGGATTTCCAAGTTTAGCTAGCTTAGTTGATGTTTTAACATCTATCATATCTTTCAGCCTTGAGGGACTTCACCCTACTAAGACAAAACCACCAACTCAGGCATTTTCTGGCTCTGCCTGCCACGCTCACAAGCCCTGGTTCAAGGCCCGGCAGAGCCCGCATGTTTTTGCACTCTGCCTAAAGATGTAAGCAGCCACATTTGACTCTCTACCGACCCACACTCTCTGGATGATGCCCACTGTGGAAGTCAAACTGCCAAGCTCCTAAAAAGGTGTCACCTTCTTCAGTTCCGCCAGCTGAGAGAGCACGCAGTACTCCTTGGTGACCTGCCACCCAGAGTGCTGGCACCTGATGGTGATGTTTCCCAGGAAGCCACTGCTACAGGGTAGAGTATATTCATCATCCTCAGACCCGAATCCAAAGGAGACGCTGTTACACGGGGCTGGAAAATAACCGACACCGGAAGAAATGACTCCAGAACATTCTAGCACTCAACAACAACAACAGTGGCAAAATTGCAGGGCTTACGCGATTTAGAAGCTATATTTACAGATTTAAAACCCAGGAAAATGTGGAAGTATAGGTGCATTGCTGATGTCCATCCTCATTCCCCTTGTGCCACTTGTTTGAGGATGGCTCCTCCTTCCAGGTATCTGACCAATGCCAGAAATGTTGTCCTTATTGGGCTGTTGACCGGTTAGTGCTACGTGAAAACAAGGCCAGACGCAATCCCTTGAGAAAATCCTAGCAGGCAGGGGAGCCGACTCAATGTGTTGAGCCCCTGCTGTGCAAGCAGGGGCATCAAGAGTTCAGAGCCTCGGAGCTCACACGAAAGCCAAGTGGGCATGGCAGCCCGCCTGTGGTCAGTCCTATCAGCATTCAACAGACACACGGAAGGAATTCCCAGATCCGTCTGGCCAGCCAAACTAGCTGGAAACCACGAGCTCCACACTCAGTAAGAGACCGTGCCTGGTTAGCAAGGTGAAAAGCAACTGAAGAAGACACCCAACATCAACCTTGGGCCTCCACGTGCAACACATGCATCCACACATACTTGTGCCCATACACATGCAACCGTACTTGCATACATACACATGCCGTTCACACAAGCATGTGTGGGAGGAAATACTTGATAATCTTTGCTAGAGCAAAGAGTAATAATGCAACTGGAAGATGGGTGATTGTCACCGGGACATGATTCTTTCTGCCATTTACCTATTTCAAAACTGCCATATACCCTTAATAGCATATTCTCCTACGGCTGGCACCAAGAGATGGTATTATTGGAAGCCGGGTCTTTAAGGCCTAGAATTTTGATTTCTCCAGTTTTCTGTTTTGTGTCTGACATATCAGATAATAAGTATTTGCTGGGCGAACGTGTTGACAGATGCTGACAAAGACTGTGACCAAAGACTCCTAAGGCTAAATTTCAAAAGTAAAATGAATACCCAACATTTATCGCTAGCTGCACACCTCCTGATCAGCATCTTATAGTTCTTGTAGACCCGCCCCTCCATTGCTTGCCCCTTTGCCTCCTCCCTAAAAGCCATGGCATTTCTCAGCTTCTGTGAGACCAACAGATTCTTTTGGACTCCATACAGGAGTGAGGTCAGACAATATGGATCTTTCTGTGTCTGGTTTATTACATTTAACCTAATGTCGTCTAGATTCATCCATTACGCCACAAGTCACAAGAACCTTCCTTTTCAGGGGCTGCAGTGTACTGCATATCAAAATAGCTGGAAAGCATCTGTTGATTGTTTGCATTGCAAGGAAATCATAAATGTTTGATGTGATAGACGTGCTAATTACATCATAACACAATGTCAGTAGCTCTCAAAATAGTACATTATTATCCCATAAATGTGCTTGATTATTCTGAGTCTGATGGTGAGGGGGTAGGTTTGCAATGGATTTTCTTAGCTGAGGTAAGAGGACTCACTCTGAATGTGTCACCATTTTTATGGGCTGGATCTTGGACTTTGATGTGACCGTGACTAGCTGTTTCAGTTCCTGCTGCCTCGACTTTCCCACAAAGTTGAACTATAACCTAGAATTATGAGGCAAATAAGCCTGCCTCCCCCAAGTTGCTTTCGTCAAGGTATTTTACCTCAGCAAGAGGAAATGAACTAAGACGGTATTTTTAAACACGTAGAGAGAGGAGGGTATGTGCATTTTCCCCTGGTTTTGAATGATGTTTTAAAACCACTCTTAGCTCCGAGGCTTTTCCAGTGTGTGTACTGGCAAAGCGGTGCTGAGTCACACCTATCACAGCCTGTAGTGAGGTCAGTGTTCCAAGATGTTTATCTGAGATGCTCAGATCTCCAATTAGTAACTACGGAGAGTCAGCTGGGGTTGAGTCGTGTGGGGGCGGAGGTCAAGTTGCCAGGTTTTGCTGGAAGTGAGTTTTAGAGCCATTCTCTTAGAACTAGGCATCTGCAGTCCCAGGACAGCATGCATGACTAGCGAAAGACTGAACCAAAGATGAAGCCCGGCTTTACCTTTCCCGAGCAGTCGAAAGGAGCCGTCTTCAACAGAGAACCGCCTTTTCAGGGCCACCAGTGCCTCTTCTGCCACCTGCTCCAGGGCAGACAGGAGCTCAGCTGTGCTACTGGAGCCAGTTACTTCATAGCCCACAACGATGCTTCCCTCTCTGCAGTGAGGAGGGAGAAGAAAGAAGAGATTCACTGTCTCTGCGTTTAGGCTCTCAGCGCAAACATGTGACTGCATGCTGTGGAGTGCACAGGAATAAAGCAAGAAGAGTTTCTATGTGTCTCCATGGAGCTGAGAAAGCAGCAACTGCCCCCCACACCCTCACATGCTTGTATGCATACACCTACAAACACACACATGCATTTCTATCCATGCATGCACATGTACATATATTCATCTGCATGCACATGCATACCCATATGTATCCTTGCACACATGTACATAGAAAGGCCCATAGTCATTTTGGAATGTTTAGTGTTATAATGTAGATAGGGACAAGCATAGAAAGGGAAGGAAATGCCTCACACTATATACAGGCTGGATGGAGATGGTTTCTCTGTGGAAAAAAATCCCTGGTTTTTGAAACAGGCCTTTAAGGGGATATCTCAGGGTCATTGCTGCTGTGATAAAACACTATGACCGAAAACAACTTGGGGAGGAAAGGGTGTCTTTAGCTTACTCTCCCAGGTGACAGTCTATCACTGAGGGAAATCAGGGCAGGAACTGGAACAGGATAGGAATCTGGAGGCAGGAACTGAAGCAGAAGCCATGGAGGAAAGGGGCTTACTGACGTGTTCCCCATGGCTTGCTCAGCCTCCACCTTATAACACCTAGGACCACCTGCCCAGGCATGGCACCACCCACAATGGGCTGGTCTACATCAATCTGTAATCAAGAAAATGCACCGTAGGCTTGTGTACAGGCAAATCTTACAGAGATATTTTCTCAGTTGAAAATCCCTCTTCCTAAATTTGTCTCCAGCTAATGTCAAGTTGACAGGAAACCAGTCAGCATGGATGACAAGAAGACACGTGATGAGAAGCATGTAAGTATCTGCGAAAGCTCTGGGACAGGCAGAGTTTGACAGACTTACAGACTAGAGTGGCTAGTCCAATACGAGCAAGAGAGAACGGTAGGAAGTAATGTATGGAAACCAGCTGAAGGAATGCAATAAAGAAAGCAGGAGGTTGAGCTAAGAAAGCGGCACTTCGGCTTGGACTAGTTGGATAGCCATTGGTGTGGAAACATCTAGATTGAGGTTATATCTGGCAGACTTGCTTGCTAGGAAAGCAGATGTGGGATGTACAAGAAAGAAACCAGTTAGAAATAACTTCACAGGCCAGAGGGGTCAAGGGCATCACAAGAACACCCACAGAACCAACTAATCTGGGCTCGTGGAGGCTCACAGAGACTGAACTGACCCCAAGGTACTCTACATGTATGATACATTTGTGTAAGGTACTCTGCATGTATGATACATTTGTGTAAGGTACTCTGCATGTATGATACATTTGTGTAAGGTACTCTGCAGGTACGTTATAGTTGGGTGGCTTGGTTTTCTTGTGGGACTCCTCATGTGGAATAGGGGCTGTTTCTGTGTGGCGAGCTGTGTGAAGCCATATCTGATAATCAGCTCCTAATTATGGCTAAGACCTGACTTATGCTATGATCATGCAATGATCATCAGCTGCTTGCATATGAGTGGGCCTATGGGCAGTGCCCACCTGGCAATCCAGTGTTGGCAGCCCGTGCCTTTTTAAGGGCTGGGAGAGGTTTCCCCGGGGAGAGCGGGGAAGAGAGAGAGAGAGGGAAAGTGAATAAAGTCCTGGAATAAACTGCAGTGAGGAGAGCTCCGGTGTGTCGCGCATCATCCTTGCGGGACGAGGGTGGCCGCGACATTTCTGACTCAATTGCCTGCTTTGGGGACCCTTTCCTCCTTCCAGGGTGCCTCGTCCAGCCTTAATAGAAGAAGAGTTACCTAGTCTCACTGCATCTTGATATGCTTGGCAGGTTGATAGCCATGGGAGGCCTGCCCATTCCTGAAGCGAAAGGGAGAAGGAATGGATGGGGAGGAAAAGGGGAGACGGAAGGTGGGACTGGGAAGAGAGGAGGGAGGGGAGACTGGTCAGGATGTAAAAAAATAAATACAAAAAAGGATAATTTCACAGAATGGGAACAAAATTAGTGTTTTTACACAGTAGAATCCTACTGGGCAATAAGAAAGTTGTGATTCAGTTACTGAATCCAAACAGGAATGAACTGAACGGACTTCATGCTGAATGGTAGACGCCAGGTTGAAAAACAAAAACAAACAAAACACCTGACCTTTCACTTATGTGACATTCTGGGGGCATGTTCAACTAGCCGAGGGAAGTAGAAATCAGACCCAGTGGCGACCTTTCATGGAGAGTGGGTCAGTAACCAATGGAGATTGGCTATAAAGGAACTGGAGGAGTGGGAAGTACTGGAAACCATCCGGCGGGGCGGAACAGGCTGTACATTGATGATCTATGCCACCGTGTGTTCCTTACATCTCAGGAAGCATCCGGGAGCAGAGCATGGCTCAAGGTTTGAGTCCAGCAACTGGAAGGACAGGTGAAAAGATGGTGGAGAAGATGGCCGGATAAGAGTGGGTGGGCTGGGGAGAGGGGTGGACGTGTGTTTGACACGCCCACTGGAAGAGCAAGCAGAAAGTCAAGCTGGTTGGTGACTGATATTCCGAGTTCAGAGGAGAGACAGTGGCAAAGCTGGGAACCGCGGCGCCCAGACAGTGTCTGAAGCCACGGATGGCACGCGAGAGCACACGTGGTGATGAAATGAGCCTCGTGGGTAGTCCTTGAGGTCAGTACAGTGGTGCCTTCACTCTCGTTTAGTGTTTTGAGGTCTCCCTCTATAGGCCAGGCTGGCCTGGAATTCACTGTGGAACCCAGGCTGGCTCGATGCTTGATGCAATCCTCCTGCTTCAGATTCCAAAGTGCTGAGATTACAGGTGTGAGCCACCATGCCCAGTTACCTCTCTTTCAATGTTTTATTTTCTAACTTTAAAAAGATAATTATTTTTAAATTATTTTTAAAACACTTAGATTTAAAATATAAATTTTAAAAATATTTATTTTATTTATTCTTATGCATATGTGGAGGAGGGGGTGTGTGCATGAATGTAGGTGCCAGGGAGGCCAGAACAGGTCATGAGATACCTCTGGAGGTGGAGTTACAGGGGGCTGTGAACCAACTGATGTGGGCTCTGGAAACCAAACTCAAGTCCTATAGACCAGTGTGTATTCTTTATGGCTGAGCCATCTCTTTGGAACCATGGCTACCCAAATTTTAAAGATAAAAGAAAGGAGACATAAAGAGAAGCCAGGTGAGGAAATTAGGATTTGGCAAGAACTTCTGAAGCTTCAACGGACAAACTCTTAACCCTTCTGCCTGGATACGGCCCACCCTGTTCGCTTGCCACCTACTTTCTTACCTATTGTTTGTATGTTTTTGTCTTGAAGCAGGATCTCCCTGCATAACCCAGGCTAACCTTGAACTCACTTTGTACTCTAGATCAGTTAGGAAATGATGGCAATCCTCCTGCCTCTGCTCCACAAGCACTAGGATTGTAGTCGTGCCCTACCACACCTGGCTGTTGTTTTCAGGGTTTGAATGTAAAATTACTGGAATTAAATCTCAGTTTCATCTGGTAGTTCACAGACAGAAAAGGCAAAAAAAAAAAAAAAAAGAAGGAAAGAAAAAGATCCATTATACAGATTCAATATAAGAAAAGAGAAACTGGGTTCTTCTCTGGGTTAGATTTTAAAAAAAAAAAAAATTATTCCTGTGGGACTTTCTAAATGACTTTATAGACTAAGAATGTATTTATAGCAGGTGTTGTTGAAAATTTCCCATGACTGGTTTGAAGTTAACCATGGGAAAAATAATGAGTCAAGCTCTTCCACCGCTAAGCTACTTCCTCCAGCAGGCGACTACAAGTAGCTGGCGATCAATGCACACATGCTCAGCTCCAAATAACTCTTCATTGAATCATAAACAAAAGGCTAATTTACCAAATACACCTTTATTTGCTGTAGACAGTGACTTCTGAGTTTTGAACCACAGCCTATACTTGATACCCGCACAGAAGGATACTTTATCCCAGGTTCCCATCTTGACTCCGGATTACACAACAGCATGTCCTCTGTCGTAGGAAAATGCTCATCTCTCTACCCCCACATTCCCCATGCCACCCCTCACCCCTTCCTGAACCTGGGCACTGTGATGTCCCCCTTCCTCTCAAGCTTCTACCTTATGCCCACGTGTTTACAATTTTTTAATGTGTGTGTTCTTCTATGCATGAGTATACAACATGTGTACATGTGTGTGCATGTGTGTACTTGCATGTGGGGACCAGAGGAAAACCTAGGTCGTCACTAGAAATGCTGTCTACTTCTTTTGAGACAGGATCTCTCACTGGCCTGGATCTCATGAATTAGGTGAGTCTAGCTATCCAGTGAGCCCCTGGAGTCCCCTGTCTCTACCTCCACAGCCCTGGAATTGCATGTGAACCCTGGGTTCTCTTGTCTCTGCCTCCCCAGCACTGGGATTGCATGTGAGCGCTACCATGCAAGGCATTATTATGTGGGCTCTGGGATCAGTCTTTGGAATCTCCTGTGGGGTGGAGGCCCATTCCACAAGGTCCACCATCGGTGGCTTCTCCCCGGGAGATACCTGGGACCATGCCTACCAGCTATTTAAGACCCGGCCAATAGATCTGCCATGTGAGCTCCCAGGTCCTCTTTTCCTGCCTTCCTGGGAGTCACCTGGGGGTTCTCTGCTTTGCATTGCCCTGTTTATTAAAACTGGATTTATTAATTCGATTTGATTTGGCGTATTGCATGGTGGCAGAGGAGCCCAGTAACTGGAAATCTAATAATTAACAGACCTCAGGCTTGCAAGGTATACAGGTACTGACTAAGCTATCTCCCTAGCGTTGACTTCACATTTCTGTCAGGACCAGCAGGAATACCACTGGGCATTCTCAGGAGCAGTGCCAAATTCTAGAGCAGCCCTTAGACCAGATGCGACTTACCGAAATTGCATGACCTGAACTGACTCAAAACCATGGATTCCTCTGTATGCTTCTTCAAGCTTAGAAAGAAAACAAAAGACAATGTTACAGTATCTGACCTCACACATCAAAAGAAATCGAGCAAAATATAAATGCAAATAATAAATAAGCCAACAACATATGAGCAAAGGAAGAAGGGACCATGGGAAGAAGTTATATGTCATAACAAAAGCAGTTAAAATAACCATTGAGAACACATACAATTAATTTTTGAGGATGCTAAGAAAGAACAACTGATCAGAGTCTGGTGAGATGGCACCATCAATGAAGTGATTGCCACAGGCATGAGGACCTGAGTTTGGATGTTAGTACTCGTGTAAGTGGGGTATAAAGCCATGTACATTAGTAACCCTATGGCTGGGAAGTAGAGACAGGTGATCCTGGGGCTTGTCAGTCAACCAGTAATGCCAACTGGGGAGTCCAGTGAGGGATCTTGTCTCAAAATAATAACAATGATCACGTGCAGATAGCTTTAACCAGAAGGCACATGACACCTACCTCTGGTATCCACACAGGCACACAGAGAGGGATGGTAACAGAATAAGGGAAATAGGATAATAGATATTATGATAAATGTACCCAGATCTGTGTTCTGGTTCTGGACAGAGGAGCACTGACTGGTCTAGTTCTTATGTGCCCTTGTTCAGTAACTCCCTTCAGCTTCTAAGGGGTACTTCTTTATGGAACAAAGTTAAACAATTGAGTTTAGGGTGCGATAATTTATTGTGTATAATTAAAAACCATGAACTAATCTAGAGTCCATAATATAGTATTCAAGTCCATAAGAAACATCAAACACATGATAACTGATAACATCTCAGGAAAATGCTCAAGGAACGTCTACTGTGGGCAAAGCAAATACTGGTTCTGTAAGAACTCATCAAGTATAAGCAAGTAAATATATATATAGTAAGGGACAGAAGAGTTGGCTCAGCACTTAGTTAAGAGCATGCAGAGGACCTGACATCCTCTGTTCCCAACATCCACCCAAAGTCTAACTCAGAGAGTCTGATGGCCTCTTCTGAACTCCGCAGGCACATGCACTCATTTCATACACATATCTACACACAAATACACACATATGTACACACAGATGCATACATACACACACACTCAAATCTAAAATAAATCTTTTAAAAATATGTTATTAAGGGGATATGGTGATAGCTCAGTCAGTAAAGCACTTGTTTTGCATGAAGACCTGAGTTTGAGCCCTCAGACCACATTTTTTAAAATATGGATCACATGGACTTACTAGCTAGCCCAGCCGAATTGATGAGCCCCAGGCCAAAGAAACCCCTGCCTAAAAGGGGTATAAAAGGGTGGGAAAAGAAAGAGAGAGAGGAAAAAAGAAAAGAAAACACACTTGAGCCTGTTTTTTCTGTCTCCCACGTGTGCACACAACGCCCACATGCGTAACCCCTCTATACAAATATTCACATATATAAAATATGGATAAAATGCATGTCCTGAATTGAAAAGCATCTGAACTTGTGGTTAGAAAGACTATCCTTACATAATAAATAGTGCTTACTTGCTTTTCAATTTCAGTTCTGTAGTTGGCGTATACAGCAGAAGAGGAATTCCAAAGGTCTTTGATAAAAGCTCCATTAATTTTAAAAGTGCCCCAAACCTCTAGTGGAAAGAGGGAAAATAGATACAACAAATTTAGACACTATAAATTTCTTGCTTGATTTTATCAGTAGCATAAAATTATGAAAGTACACCTCAGAACCCATGGTAGGTATTTCTATTAATTTTCATAAACTATATTCATCTAAAATAATAAAGAAAAGAAAGAAAACCAGAATTCTCAGTTGTTTGGTTTCTAACAGTCATGGGAAAGTGCTAGTGATCAGGACAAGTCACTCAACACTCGTGTATGTATGTGTGTGTGTGCATCTGTGTGTGTGCATGTGTGCATGCATGTATGTATGTGTGAGTGTGTATGTCCATGGAGATGAGATGTCTGGTGTCTTCCTCAATTATTCTCTACCTTATTTTTTTGAGACAGGGTCTCTCACTGAACCTGGAGCTCACTAATTTGGGTAAAGTAGCTGACCAGAAAGCCCAGGGATCCTGGCGTCTCTACTTCCCCAGTCCTGAGACTCCATGCACGCACTGTGCTCAGCTACAGCTCCAAACTCAAGTCTTCATGCTTGCACACCAAGCACTTTACCGACAGAGCTGGCTCCCCAGCCCCAACACAGCTTAAAGCTGTTTGCTAACTCCTACCAGCCCCGTGCTTACTAGCTCAGGGCTAGCGCTCATCTGTACAGAACTGGTCTCTCTGTGGACAACCCCTGCGCAGTCTGTACTCAGGGTCTAACCATCAGCTGCTCTGGAAACACTTCTCTGGTCCCCACATGTAAAATCCTTCTGCCTCTGAATTCCACCACTGCTTTCTCCATCTGACTGTACCTGTCTCTACCATACTATGGGAAACCCTTCATGAGCACATTCACCTGTCTGAGTCTTCTTTCTATTTCTTGTAGATGGATCAGAATTGGGCCTTCTTCCAAGATGGGAGCTTTCATTGGCATTTGGTGAAAAGATTGCCTTCATTTCCTTCTTATATTACCACCCAGCCTCCCCCACTAGCCTGATAATATATAAGTAGCAAAACAGATGCTTTGTGGCCTAAGGGTTTACTCTGGAACTGGACGTGAACATGGTCCTTAGTAGACACATGATGCCATAACATGACGAATTGCTGTGCTCCTGGGAAGGGGAACTAGGCTTGCTCAGCTAAGCAGGACTATTTCTGACTCCTCCCTCATACTTAAAACCCAGAGCTTCAAGCTGACCAGAGCAGTCTTACAGGAAGCTCCTCCTCCTTCCCTTCCCACTCTTCTCCCCTTTTTCCTCCTCCTATTCCTTCTCATCCTTTTCTTCTCTGCAGTCAGTGTATCAAACTATAGCCTAGACTCTTGAGAACCTACTATGTAGCCTAAGCTGGCCTCAAACTCAGGGCAAGCCTCCTGCCTCTGTCTCCTGGGTGCTGGGATTACAGGCATGAGTTCCCACACTCAGGGAGAATTTTCTTAAAGTCTGTTAGGGCCTGGAGTCCATGTCATTAGATTTATCTCCTTCATAAAACAGAAACTTAAGTCAACAGTGGTTTCTCTACTCTTTGGCTATATACGGAGTGTGTGTGTATGTGTGTGTGTGTGTGTGTGTGTAACTTGGAATGTATTTGTTGCAATCCAGAGCAGGCTTTTCAATATAATCACCAAGTGTCTCTCCTGCATTCACAGATCTAGAGTTAATGCTAGTAAAGAAGAGAAAAGGGAGAAGGAAATGTCCTGACTTAGGCCATTGCCCACTTGGATTATAGTGCATCTTTCTAAATCTCAGTAGAATCCTGCAATCACAACGTTGAGCTAGCTGCATGCATATAGAGGTTGAAATGACATCTAAACATGATCTTGTGGCTTCAGGTCTGCTGCGCTGAGGAAGCCTTCACTGGTCTAGGCAAACCTAACTGGGTACCTCTACTTCAGTACTGCCCCTCAGCATCAGCTGCCCTCAGCCAGGCAAAGAACCACAGTACTATCTTCACTGCATCCTGGGAAGAGAGTACCTTAGCCCAGAGTACTTACTTGCTCTCTCACAGAAGTTGACACTCCGGCTGAGGTCTTTAAGATGGCAATTACAGCTTGGGAGGGGTCCAGTTGTATGAAGGTAGCAGTTCTGGGGGTCAAGACAGGAGGGAGGAAACCACATATAGCTGTCTTCACAGGCACACTCCGGGAACCCCTTCAGGTTTCTGCAGTCTACATACAGAAAAAGAAATAGACCACCGTTTCACTATGTCTGCTTTCTATATCAACTTCTGTTCCGTCCTTGGCTCTGACTTGGAATCTGAACCAAGGATTTCTCCACAGAAGCTGGGAGGATGGCAAGTTGTTTAAGACATAGAAATGTCCAACTCCAAAGATTCTGAGGTTGCTGGGGAAATCCTAGCAGAGATAAAACAAATGGCTTGGCTTAGCATCCAAAACAAGGCTACGGATCCCACCGGTATCCACTGTGATGGAAGAGAAAGACAGAAACATAGTCACAACATAAGAGTTATTATTGAAAGGGTCTAAAGGGTATTTGATCCCTACCTCATTTGAGTCCCCATACATACATCCACCCATCAGCACACCAAGGGAGGACTTAAAAACTACGTGACCCGGCTGAAGACATGATTCAGTGTTTTAAGAGCTCTTGCTCTGCAGGAAACCTGGGATTGGTTCCTAGCACCCACATGGTGGTTCACAGGCATCCAGAACTCGAATTCCAAGGGATCTGAAGCCTCCTGGCCTCCTTGGGCACTAAGCACGCATATAGTAGTATACACACATATACATGCAGGCAGAACACTCATACACACTGAGCATGGCACTGTCTGCCACTAATCCCAGCAACTGGGAGGCAGAGGCAGGTAAATCTCTGAGTTCAAGACCAGCTGGTTTACAGAGCAAGGTCCAGAACAATCAGGGCTATACAGAGAAACCCTGTCTTGGAGGGGAAAACACTCATGCACATAAAAATTTTATATGTTTTAAAAGCTTAGAAAGGCAGATTGATTTGGAGGTGGGGTAATGGTGAAAAACATCTACCAATCAAAGCTGTGCAATTGTTACTTTGTATTAGACTTGACACGCCCATTAGAAATTCTTCCATCTTAACAAAAAGCTGAAGGGTGAGGGTGGGGAGTGGGGAAGTAAGCGGGGGACAGTCCAGGATATGCTTGAGAAACTTACGTGGAAGCGTGTAGTGAGTGCTTGTCAAACTTTAGTAAGCTTCAGAAGCCCCTGGGGCATTTCACCCCAGATCCTCTGGTCCCACAGGTCGGAAGTGGACTAAGGAATGTGCATTCCTACTCAGTTCCCTACTCCTGATGGCAGTAGAGGTGACCTGAGCACTGTGGGACTCTCAGCTTTAGCCAAGTTGTTAGACTTCTCTGGGAGCCACTTCTGTGATTTGCATTATCAAATACTTCTTGCTATCTTATGGATACATACTGGAATTTCATATCCCAGCCTTGTGAGGCTGGATAGAGTCATAGAAAAAAATTCTGTGATGTGGGAATGATTTCTTATTAATAAAGAAACTGCCTAGGCCCCTTGATAGGCCAACCCTTAGGTGGGTGGAGTAAACAGAACAGAATGCTGGGAGAAAGAAGCTGAGTCAAGGAGTCGCCATGATTCTCCCACTCCAGACAGACGCAGGTTAAGATCTTCTCTGGTAAGCCACCTCGTGGGCTACACAGATTATTAGAAATGGGTTAGATTAATATGTAAGAGCTAGCCAATAAGAGGCTAAAGATAAAGGGCCAGGCAATGTTTAAAAGAATACAGTTTCCGTGTAATTATTTTGGGTAAAGCTAGCCATGCGGGCGGCCGGGTGCCGGGGACGCAGCCCCACCGCTCCTATCACTACAATTCTGGCCAATAAAATAGGAACAGAGTTAGTGTCTTCCATTCTCAGCTAAAAAAAAATGTCATTGTCTGTATGAGGATCTCCAGGATTTCATTTCTTTCTTTCTCAGAATGAATACATGTGAAGTAGGATCTCATTCATCATCTGGTACCTAAGGGATGACCACAGACACAGCCCCATTGCCAACATGCAATGGACATAGCCCATTAAGAAGAAACAATGGTTCTTGATACCACAGCATTTGTATGGAATGGTCATTTTTCAAAGCACAGCCTACCTACCCTGACTGACCCGCCCCTCTCCCCAGTTACACTCCCCACCCCAGGGAAGCTAATTTACATGTGGTGGCCTTCACTTTGACGATCTTGCTGGGCCCCTGTAAGCACTGTGACGGAGATTTCAAATGCTTCAGAAATCTTTTCAATTCTTTCTTCTCCCCAGGATTCCTGTATGTCATCTGAAGCAGGATCTCATACTCCTGGGCTGGTGGAAGAGAGGGGTTATCAGAAGGTATCTCTGTGGGGGGAGGATGTCTTAGCAGTCATCACGTACTGCTTAGAGCTCCTGGACTGTCCCCGATGCTTGTCACTACATTCCGCACGATTGACTTAATGTGAGCAAGCAGACATGCCTCATACATGCCTCACAGGGATCTCTCCTCCCACTTCAGCTAGGTCAATAGTTCCCAAGCTCTCTTTCCTGCCCCAGACTCAAGGGAAACAGACTGGAATATCCTACTCACCCTTCTTTGGTTTCCTGGAAATATCTCCAACATAAAACCCCAAACGTCACCCTTTATAAAGAACTCATTTTTTAAAATGTTCCATTAATGAGTGGGGGTTTAGGGATTTGCTTGAAATACAAAACAAAACACAACTAGACCCTGGCTTGTGTCTGTGAACAGTTGTTACCTCTAGCTGCTTAAAGGCGAAAGTCACAAACAATCTCACACCAGTTTGGAGTTATGATTAATAGGATGGTTATTTATTTAAGGAGGAAAAACTTACAGATCACCGTCCCAGACAACAACCCTCTGCACAATCAGAAAGGGAGCCTAGTCACAGGAAGCGGAGCTGGAAGCCAGAGAGAGAGCAGAGGAAAGTGGCCACTTTTTTAAAGGGAGAGAGACCACACCCCAATGGGCTGGTATCTCAGCGGCCAATAGCCGCTATTGGCTGAAGAAGCGGAAGGAGCTCCCACAACAGCTGCTTATTTAATAACTTTCCTTTCTTTCCCCAAAGATGAGCCTTCGGTACTTGGAACCCTGGTGTCTTTGGCTTCCCTATGCCAAGACCAATCTTACCTTGGGGCTTTGCATGTGTTAACATTGCAGCAAGGCTGATTGGGTTCAAATCTTGTCTACTGTTCCCACAGGTCTTGGGAGTACCCCCCAAATGATGGGGAACAGGGTAAATGTGAACCTGCTCACTTTCCCAGGAGTTAGTGATACTGAAGCCAGATAGGTTGGGTTAAATCTTGTCTTACAGCCCTTAAGCTAAACCCTAGTTTTACCATTTTTAAATAAAGATGGCCATGATAGAATAGAACTAAACACAGCCTGGCATAAGTGACAGTCCAGTGAATAAATGCTTACTGTATTTTTATTGTCATTGTTACTGTTGGGGAGATCTTGTTTATGGCATTCTGTGTTAAAAATTTTGCTTCATTTCTCTAAAGAACTGTAACCTTGCATGGGGGACATTTTCATGCTATGCCTAGCACATGACTGCTTGCCATGGATGTGTATTTAAATGCATCGCATGCCAGAAGCCTTTTGTGCACTGCTCTGGAACCTACAACCATCTGAGGGGATCAATGATTTCATTAGAAAGTACTTTCAGTGCTCAGACATCAGGCGTACATGTTAACGTCCAAACCGGGACTCATCCCCAAGCTGAGAGCTCTGCCCATTAGTTACATTATAGGAGGGAGGCACAAGAGAAAAGGAACAATGGACAGGCTCCTGTCTGGTGTGGTGCAAGATTCCCATCTTCCTTGTCAGCTTGCCTGGATCTGTGGTCACCTAGGAGACACACCTCTGAGAGGTATCGGAAGGAGTTTCCAGAGATGTTTAACTGAGAAGGGAAAGCCCACCCTGCATGTGTACACACCATTCCGTGAACTGAATAGAAGGAAAAGGAGGGAAAGCACACTCAACACCAGTGTCATTCCCTAAGCTTTCTGAATGTGAGCACAGTGTGACCAGATGCCTCACGTTCCAGCTGCCGTTCCTTCCTAGCAGAATGGACTGTGCGGGCTCTTAAATCATGAGGCCGAATAAGATGGTTCTTCATTAGCTTTGGTAAGACATTTGGCCACAACAAAATTATACCAACTAATACACTGTGCCATTATTTAGTCTTTGCTCTTAAGAATTATTGTTATTCTCCCTTTATAGATTATTTCATAATGTGCCTAAGATCCCCTGGCAATTGCTGAGGCCAGAACCCTGTTTTCTTGGCACCAGGGTCCAAAGTACCAGGACGTCTAGCAGGATCTTACCTGGATCTCTTTTCTCAACCACACCGACATCTCCTTTGGTTTGGTTGTCATGGTTTTTCTGCTACAAAAGGAAAGAAGATGGCTATCATGAAGCTTTGTGATCTGCACATCATAAGGTCTGTTGAGTTTCCCAGGCGAGCCAAAATGATGATCTACTATCCAAGCTGAGCGTGGTGACAGATGGCCAAGAAAGGCCTTACCAAGGCTGTTTTGAGCAAAGACCTGGAGGAAATGATGGTGTTCAGGGGAAGAGAGAGTGATGGTCTTGCAAAGAGACAGGAATAGCATTAGTGTGGTCAGTGCTATGCATGTGCCCACTGTGACAGTAAAGTGAGGGACCAGAGAGCATGAAGAAGTGGGTGAAGGGAGGTGAGCAAGAGGTGGGATCCAGAGTCCACAGAGGCGGGTCATGTAGACAGAGGCAAGGTGTGTTCGTCTATCAGACCAGAGAAAGATTTTAACGCTTTGTGGGAAGGAAAGGAAAGTGTTGTTGTTGGGTGTGTGTTTGTGTGTTGCATGTACATGGGCATATTAGAGAGTACACCCATGTGCACACAAAAAGACCAGGAGAAGCTATTGAAAGTCTTCCTCTGACATGCTTTAGTTTATTCCTTGGAGACAGAGGTTCTCAGTGAATCTGGCCGTTGTTTCAGGTAGAATGCCTGGCTCAGTGACTGCCGTCTCCACTCTCCTGGACTGGGCTTACAACCATGCTCAGGTTTTCTTAAGTGCTTTCTGGGATCTCAAACTTGGGTCTTCATGCTTGCAGAACAAGAACTCTTCCAAGTCATCTCTGCAGCCCTGGTTTTAGTTTTTCCCTGAGTGAGCTGTGCAGAGTTTGAACACACACGAGAAAGTCACTCTGATTTGCTTTACAGAAGCCTTAATCCTGGTGACCTGTTAAGAACGGCCAAGCACAGAAACAATACAAGCATTTCTGGTGTTACCAAGGGGCTATAGGACTGAGATCATAAAGCTCTCAGCAGAGACCACAGTGGTGGAAGAAGTTAGAAGAGTCTGATTTTAAAATTTAGACAAATTTTAAAGTAAATTTTAAAACCAATTTACATATGCAGCATCACAAGACTCAAGCATGGCACCGTTTTCACACAGACAGAAAGAGAGTGGTGTCACCAGAAAAGAAGAGTGGGTTCGGTAAGTAAAATCAGGATTCAGTTTGGGGCATGTGAAGCTGAGGAACCCTAGTGTCCACATGAATGATGGCTACATGAGTGAAGAGTTCGGGCCAAAGCATCAGGATGAAAATATACACTTGGGAATAGTCAGTGAGTTGAAAACATTTCAAGCCACAATCCTAGATGAAATCATCAAGAAAGCCCATAGTTGGACTGATGGCTCAGTTGTTAAAGCACTTGATGAACCAGGGTAAGGACCAACTAGAGTTTGGGTCCCCAGAACCTGTCCATGTAAGTGCTAAGTAGGCAAATTCACCTAGTTCCAGTCCTGGAACTATTAGTGTATACCCACGTGGTTTTCTGTTCCCAAGAGACCATGGCAGAGAATGTGCTGAGTTAGACAAGATCTCCAAGACGATTAAATTTCCATGGGAGAAGTCTCATCTGCAATCAAGGCACCTGCACTTCAGAGACCTCACAGTGAATGATGATAAATACCGAGACAAGAACATGGGACTTCTGATGCAAAGTCCACCAGCCTCTGTAGCTCAGTTGCCTGGAGAATGACAGATTCTGAGGTAGCAGGAAGGTGGAGAGGAGATATGGCTGCCAAGAGAAACAAGACAGGTACCGACTCACCTGCAGGAAGTCTTTGGTGCCCTCAGTCACCGGGAAAAGAGCAATGAGCCACAGCAATCCAACTCTCATTTCCAGTAGCGCCTTCTCCCCGCTCTAAACCGAACATAGACACCCCGAGTCTGGTCTCTCAGGAGGCTGTACACTAAAGCAAAGATTGTGAGTCAAGGCTGTAAACGGTACATTCAGCATCAGCCCCTCAAGTTTTACCGGGATTTTCCTTGTCCCCTTAAAATATCCAGGGACCCTACAAAGCACAAATGTTAGAGATAGATTTGAAGTACTTAAACTTAAAAGTAATAACCAGCCAGTTTAGCAAGCTCCCTTCTGGATAACTGAGGGAGTTAGTAACAAATTGTTCTTAAGTTTCTATTTATATTAAATAATTTGGACAGAATTCAACACACAAACACAGTGATGATTTCAACAAAAACTGGCAATCATAGGCTTTGATGTTTGAACACTTGGTCTGCAGTGGGTGGAGCTGTTTGGGGAAGTTTTAGGAGGTAAAGGCTGGCTGGAGAAAGCACACCATGGGGTCAGGTTTGGGAGTTTATAGGCTCACGCTTCCACAAAACACTGCTTTGTGTTTGTGGTTGAATATATGCTCTCTCAACGTCCTGTTCCCACTGCCTGCTGCCATGTCTCCCTCACCACTATAGACTTTGCCTCTGGACAATAAAGTAACATACACTCTGTCTTCTTTTCATTGCCTTTGGTCATGGTTCTTTATCACAGCAACAGAAAAAATAACTAATACAGGCATGGTCCTTGTATCTTTGTTTTGTTCTCATTTTTTTGAGACAAAATTTCTCTGTAGTTTTGGAACCTGTCTTGAAACTTGCTCTGAAGACCAGGCTGGTCTCAAACTCACGGAGATCCACCTGCCTCTGCCTCCTGAATTCTAGGATTAAAGGCAAGCGTCACCTCTGCCCGGCTTGTCCTTGTGTTTTGGAGATAGGATATCATGTAGCCCAGGCTGTCCTCAAACTCACTACCAGCTAAGGATAAGGCTAAACTTCCGATTCTCTCAGCTGTGCATCCCAAATGCTCCGACTACGAACATGTGCCGTCAAGGTCAGAGTGTGTGGTCCCGGGGATAACCCAGTACTTCACGCGTGATGCACAAGCATGGCATCGGCTGAGATGCATCTCCAGCAACCACATATAGTCTAAGGTTCACAAGTCGCAAATGGCTAGCACTACCATGTTAAGTAGCACGCTACAGAATACTTCCATCATTTTGGAAAGCTTAACTGGACAGCAGTGACAGAACAGAAAGGATTGTTTCCCTGGCCTATCAACATTTCTTTTACAGCTCCATAGGAAATCATTTTAAAAATGGTTCCCGAACTCAATAATTCCTCTTTGGAGTAAGTGTACAGATCGGTACAGAGTGGGCTCTCTCTGCCACTTACCTTGCTCCTTGAGGAACGTAACCTTCATGTGCACACTGTCATCCCCACCGGATGCTGCTCTCAGACCTAAAGAGAAAAGCATCAGGGATGGGGGAGGACTACCATACCCATGGCTGGTTTTCAAGGGCTTTCTGGGGCCTGCTAATGGAGTGTTGCGCCCATATGGCATCTGTATCACTTGCCCTCTAGGATGAAGGAATGGTCCTCTCATATCCCGCCCTCCTTCCTGCTTGCCAGAGACTCCTCTTAGATCTTGAGCTGGGTGAGTCGGCAGGTGGAAGCCTGTGCCTCAATCATTCTTTTAGGTCTTGGCTTATCTGCTCTGAAGTGCGTCTGTTACTGTATGCATTCACTGTTGTCCAAAGCTAAGCTAAGGGGTATTTGTCTGTGAAGAAGAACATTTCAAAAAAGTTTTTCCAGCCTGCAGTAACACAGTACAACACACACACGCTTGTCTTTCTGTGTCAGAATTTGGGGACTGGTCCAGGGACACTGAACATATCAACATCTGCACAAATCCCTCATACAGACTGGGAGAATTATGGTTCTTAACCTATGGGTCATGACACCTTTGGGGGTCAAAGTTGCATAACAGATATTCTACATATCAGATAATTACAAACTACAGTTCACACCAGTAGCAAAGTTACAGTTAGGAAGTAGCAATGGAAATAATTTTATGGTTGGGAGGTCACCATGACATGAGGAACTGTGTTAAAGGATCATAGCATCCTAAAGGGCAGAGTATCTGACAATGACTGAGACACATCTTCCCACAGGTTCCGAGGTCATCTGTGGATCACCTGAACACAGTGTGATGCCAGTGCTATGGAAACAGATGTTATGTTGTATTGCTTGGGAAATAATGATGAGAAAATGACTGCATTTATTCAGGGCAGACACACGGTATCAGCCACAATGATTGGATTAATGAGTATTTTATTTTATACATGAATATATGTACATGCACACACAGAATAACCATATTCTTTCCTGAGTTGTACTTTGGATATTCTCTGTCTCTCTGTCTCTGTCTGTCTGTGTGTGTGTCTGTCTGTCTGTGTACATGTGCACGCACCTGCACATGTCTGTGTGTGTCTCTGCATGTGTCTGTGTGACTCTCTGCGTGTGTATATGTGTGCACGTGTGCATGTGTGTATTCTAGTTTCTCTTCCACTACTATGATAAAATGCCCTGACAAAGCCATGGAGAAAGAAAGCCTACATTCATGGTGAGTTCACCCCCTCACCTAACACTCAAGACAATCTTCAGCACACTCCCTACTGGCCAACCCAATGCAGACAGTTTCTCAAGCAAGGCTTTCCACCCAGATGACTCTAAGTTACGTTAGGGTGACAATTTAAACTAATAAGCACATTGTTTTTTGAGTCAAGGTCCCATGTAGCACAGGCCTGCTGCAAACTCACTGTGCAGCAATGGGTGAGCGTGAACACCTCATCCTCCTGCCTCTACTTCTGAATTTCTGAGATTATGGGTATGTATATCCACACCACTGGATATAACCAAACCTTGGATATTTTCTTTTGTTTTATTTTATTTCAGTTTTATATTGTTAAGTTGTCAAGCGTGACTAAGCTAATACTTCGATGTAGTATTCGCATAGCTAGGGGAGGTGGAGCTACCTGCTTCCTCTTTTTCTCCATTTCCAGGAAGACTTTTCTAATTTGAATTGCCAGGTATTCTTTTGCTTGTGGCTTGTAACCCTGGAGCTTTCAGAAAGGATAACAGTCTCTGCATATGTGTCCTATCTATCCCCTCTTAGTGTGACAAGGACTGTTCCAAAATGAAAGGCCTGGGTGTCATGTGCTTCCCACAACTCTCTGTTCTCTCTTGCTAAGAACATTTTCTCCTGTGTGCAGCCTCAGACTGCAAACCCAGCTCAGACGGCCTGAGTGACAGCTCCGGTCATCCTAAGGAAGCCTCCTCTCCACCTCATTATTCCCCTGCCCCTTCCTCTGGACCGCCTCTTGAGACTTTTCCAGAAATGGTAATCAGTGATGTACAGTCGAGGTTTGCATTGATCTGTAGGCTGATCATGAATAGATACACCATAAAGAAAGAAGGGAAGAGCTGAAGAGATGGCTCCATGGCCAAGAGCTCTGCTTGTTCTTCCAAAGGACCCAGGTTCAAGTCCCAGCACCCACATGGCAGCTTACAACTGTCTGTAACTCAAGTTCCAGGATCTGACACCCTCACTTGGAGGCAAAACACCAATGCATATAAAACAAAAACAAATAAATAAATCATTTTTTTAAATGCCTCTAAAAAAGAAAGAAGAGAAAATAAAGAAGCAGCAGAGGAGAGACGGGAAGGATTGAGACTAGAAGAGAACATTTTGGCACTCTTTAGAAAACAGAGACATACATATTTTACCTAAAGCCTGTCAAACCTTGAACAAGTTCAGCCTAGCTATGGATACTATTAAAGTATTTAGCAATGCTTATATCCAGGTGGATGTACTTCCGGACAATTTCTAGGCTAGGTAAAAGATCTATATACTAGACCTGGTTCTACAATAGACGTCCTGGTCCAGGTTTTGGTATCTCCTGTATTGGTCAATGTTATACAGTGACAAAACATCAGGCAAAAGCAACTAGCATAAGGGGTGACTCATTTGGGCTCATGACTTGAAGGTACCGTCCTCTAAGCCAGGAGGGCATGGTATCAGGGGCTGAGTTTTCTGGTCACATTGCAATGACACGAGGCAGAGAGAGCTGGTGGGTAGCCCCGTGTCTCTGTTTTAGCCAGTCTCAGATGCCAGTCTCTGGAATAGGGTCACCACATTTAAGGATCGTCCCACCTCATTTAATCTAATTCAGAAAGTCCCTCATAGACAGGTTCACATCAATATCAACCACCACTGTGCTAAGGTTTGAACTAATCATTTTCCTCTCTGGTTCCTTAGTGTGTATTGCAGGGTTGGACAATACGTTAAATAAGAACAAGAAACCCAAAAGCAGGTATATCTGAATTTTAAAGAAGCAATGATTAACATTTTAGGATAGTTTTGCTCTGTGTGGTACTTGTAACATTCAAATTAAACTGGGCATCATGTATTGGACAAATCAAAGGGAGAGAAATGACATCTCAAGGTACACAGATCGAGACAGGCTCTAGAGCTAGCCTGCCTTCCCTCTGGTATTGACGTTCACAACTGTTCACAACTGGAAGTCTATGTTCTAGGCTTTCTATGTCTTTGTTTATTTACCTTTAAGATAAGGGAGTCAAGCCAGGTGGTGGTGGCACACACCTTTAATCCCAGCACTAGGGAGACAGAGGCAGGCAGATCTCTGTGGGTTCGAGGCAAGCCTGGTCTACAAAGTGAGTTTCAGGACAGCCAAGGCTATACAGAGAAACCCTGCCTTGAAAACCGAAGAGAAAGATAAGGGAATCAGGGTATAATTCCCAAGTTCCTGGGAGAGTCTAATGAGCTACTGTATGTAAAGTGGCCCAAACAGTGACCATTGTCCACTGTCATCCATGCAGGTCAGCAGTACTTTACTCTTATTACCGTTTGTGCAGCTCCTTGCTGGATTACATCACAACTGCACTTTAATTCTGAGTCAAATGAACTTGATCCAAGTGATGCCGTCGATGTGAAGACCCACATCACAGATATTGTGGCCTGGAGGTCTTCAGGTAACAACCAGAGCGCGTTTCTTCCAGGAGCTAAATGACCTCACTCAAAGGAGGACCCTCAACCTAAAGAAAGTAAAGTGTGTGTGTGTGTGTGTGTGTGTGTGTGTGTGTGTATGTGTGGGTGTGTGTGATGCATGTGGGTAGTAACCATATACATCCTGCTTAACTTTACATTCTTAGACACAAACCTCATGGCATTTCAATCCATTTCCTTCCAAGCCAGAGCGAGCGAGCCCAGAATCTTTGTGTAATCCACAGGTGGGTTGTCCTTGTCACCAGAGCATGAGTATTTACATCACATTTCACTCTGGGGGTGGCTAATGCCGGGCTGACAGCTGTGTTGGCATTACCATCTGTGGAAAAACTTAACCGTGGTGAGGAGATCTCCCCCCCCCACCACACACACACACTTCCTTGAATTCATTCAAGTGAATTCATTCCTGATAATCCCTGTCCTTTATGTAACCACAAACAATCATTCAAACTTGCTGCTGTGCCTCTGCAGACGATGGCACATTGTCTCCACGGTCTTTCAGTGTGTGTTTGTGGACACTGGGTGCCCTTTGTTTACGTCAACAACAGCCTCCTTATCCACATGATGGAGACCTGAAACTGCTGGCATAGATAGATAGACTGACGGTCTCCAGCATTTCGAGCAGCAATCTCATCTTAGGCACCACCGGGATCTGGGCTTTTCTGCCGTCAGTGTTTATGGAATGATGCCTTTTCTTCTATAAATAGAAGCAGTCCCTATAGAATGACCTCTCTCCTCTCTGCCTTAAAATTACACACACACACACATGCACATGTGCACACATGGGCATGACAGAGCAGGGCTCCACAGAGGACTCACCGGGCGGTGGTAGCGCATGCCTTTAACCCCAGCACTCAGGAGGCAGAGGCAAGAGGATCTCTGTGAGTTTGAGACCAGCCTGGTCTACAAGAGCTAGTTCCAGGACAGGCTCCAAAGGACATAGAAACCCTGTCTTGAAAGCAGCAGCAGCAACAACAACAAAGAATCATGGCTCAACCAGAGTTAGGCAGAAATGTGAACAAACTCAGTTTTGTTTCACTTCTCATTCTATGGGCTTGGAGTAACACTTTGTGGGAGGTGTCTTTGCAAAGGAACCCCCGGAGCTGTTTGCCTTTCAGATAGGTTTGTAGAGAGGATAGTGTGGGGACGGGGTGCACGGACAAGGCAAAATAATCTTTGGAGAGCAGATCAAATTTAAGAGCTAAATTTTCTCTGAGGAAAAAAAAATTAAAATTATTTACAATTTCAGTGGGTTTCCATTTATGTATAGACATGACCAAAAAGAGTTTTGTTTCTTTGTTTGTAGTTGCTGTTTTGAGACAGGATCTCCTGTAGCCTAGGCTAGTCTCTCCCATTCACTATGCAGCCAAGCCTTGAAACCCTGCCTCTACCATCCACATGCTGTGATTGCAGACATGCAGCCCCCTACCCATTTAAATCAGGGCTCAGGACTGAACCCCGGACTTCACCCTACCAGCTGAGCTGCATCTCCAGCCCTCAGCCCCGCAAACCTGCAGGCCCTCAGAGTAAAATTTTAAATGAATGCTTAATACTCTCACATAACTGTGTGCATAATGTGGTATAAGAGGCCTGGATGAGCCAATCCAGTCCGGGGTGTGCTGCTGAAATATAAGGTTTTGCAAAATGCCATGAGCTCTCTCTGGAGTCAGTGCCCACCTCTTCTGTGAGGGATAACACCGGGTTCCCTCAAAGGTGCTCAGACTCAGCATCTGTGTGTGTTCTGTTTATTTCCCCTCCAGAGCGCTCGTACAATTGTTCTTCCGTTCATTCATGTCCATCACCAAACACAAGCCTGAAAGTCTTGATGATGTTCAATGAGCTGGTTTTCTCCTCTGATGGAGGAAGGTCATTGGTTAATTAAATAAAGAAACTGCTTGCCCTGATAGGTTAAAACATAGGTGGGAGGAGTAAACAGAACAGGATGCTGGGAGGAAGAGGAAGTGAGCTCAGACTTGACAGCTCTGCTCTCTGGAGCAGAGACGCCAGGCTCCGCTCTCTCAGGCAGCTCTGACCCAGGATGGACATAGGCTAGAATCTTCCCGGAAAGCGCACCTTGGGGTGCTTACACACATAATTAGAAATGGGCTAGTCCAGGTGAGAGAGTTAGCCTAGAAGAGGCTAGATAGAAATGGGCCAAGCAGTGCTTAAATGAATACAGTTTGTGTGTTGTTATTTCGGGGCATAAGCTAGTCTGGTGGCTGGGGTGCTGGGGACGCAGCCCCACCGCTCCTATTATTACAAAACTCCTCACACTGATCATTCAGCTCTGAGCATCTTTGAGATGAACTGAGAGCTAAGGTCTTGGTTTGGAACAGAGATGGAATTTTTATTAATTATTACTCTTAAAGGGGCCAAAGAATTATTTAGCTCAGTCACCTCTTCTTCATGGACATTCTGCCAATCAGACGAACTGATTTGTTGTCAACCACTGCGTAAAGAAGACTGCATGGTGAAATGCATTGGCTAATAGCCGTATAACAGTGTGGACTGCCGTGGTTAGAGCTACATGCATTAAGAGAGACACTGGGAGGCTGTGAAGATGTCTCAGTGAGTGAAGTGCTTGCTGTGTTAGTGTGGAGACCTGAGTTTGGTCTATTAAAATTATATTAAAATTCAGGCAAGGCTACGGTGTCCATAACCGCTGCACGATAGGTAGAGACAGGAGGATCTCTGGAGTTCACTGGTCAATCTAGCCTATCACTGAGCTCTAGTAGTGAGAGACCTATTTTTTTAAAAAAGTCTTAAGATGCAAATCAATAGAGGAAAACATTAGAAGTCAATTTTTGGGCTCCATACAAGTGCACAGGGCATGTGCACCCACAAAACCCATATGAACATACATGCAACATACATACACAGGGCAGGGGACAGAGAAAAAGTAAAACCCCCAGAAGCTATGGTGAAACCCACTTTTGCAAACACCTGATTATGCTTTCCTGTGTTGCACTGAACAGCTGCATCTTCGGAGGCTACCGTGCGGGTCTACTAAGGCTGAGTCCTTTCTGTTCCTAACTGAGCTGGTACAAAGCTGGTTTTATAGCAGCCTGCATGTCCTTTGCCCTGCATTAGACTTCAGCTAGAAAGCATTTCTCCTGTTGCTGGCGATTTCACTCCATACACCAGCTGTCCCTTCCCCAGCAAGGGTGGCTTTGCTAGCCACCTGTCTATGCTTTGTCTTACAAAAGCATCATGGAGGATGCTTTGTTGTCTTAGCTCGCCACCCAGAGTTTCACCTGGACTCCTACTAAAGTTTAAGTCCCAGGGAAAACACATCCAGTTCAGTTATGTTGTAAAAGGTCTGTCTGCAAGCCTGGTAGCTAGCTTGGCGCTCCGTCAGCCAGCCACTTGTGCCCAAAGACTTTCCTCTAGTAACTTCTACAGTGTAAGTTCCCCTGAGCACGTACATGGGGATTAATAATCTTGTAACCAAGTTTGTTACACACAAGTGTCAGCCTTGCTGGAATCCACACGTCAGACCTGGGTCTCATTTCCATCATGTGACAATGGTGGCTATCGTAGGTAAAGCCTGGAGAATCTGAGCCTCCTCCATATTGCTTTGCTGGTGTGGTATTCCCCTCTGCATGCTGTGAATATCATTGGTGAATAAAGAAGTTGTCTTGGGCATGCACAGGGAATAGAGGTAGGTGGTGATAACTAAACTGAATGTTGGGAGAAAGAAGGCAGGGTAGGAGAAAGCCCATGTAGCCCCACCAGACACAGACTCTGGAACTCTACCTGGTAAGCCACAGCCTTGAGGTGATACACAGATTACTAGAAATTAAGATATAAGAGTTAGCCAATAAGAAGCTAGAGCTAATGGGCCAAGCAGTGATTTAAATAATATAGTTTCTGTGTGATTATTTCAGGGCTAAGCAGCCAGGAACCAACAAAAGGCCTCTTCCAACACTTTGCTTTAAAGAAAACTCGGCAAAATGGAATTCAGGAAAAATCAGAGTAACTGTCATTGGGCTGGGGAGAAGTCTCAGGGGGCAAAGTACTTGCTGCACAAGTATGAGGACTGGAGTTCAAATCCCCACACCCTCAGATAAAAACTGAATGCCTAGCACAGGGTCTGTGATCCTGGGATCTCTATAGGGAGAGAGAGACAGGAAGAGCTCCAGGCCTCTCACAGCACAGCTAGCAGAAAACAAGGGGCCCTGTCTCAAACAGAACGGAGGGGAAGGACCAGCAACTGAGGTTGTCCTCAACCCTCACACCTGTGTTAAGGCATATATATGCACACCTGTAATCCACACACAAACACAAGCACACATGCATGGACATACACACACACACACACACACACACACACACATGCATGCACCAAGCTCTAATTTATAAAATGCTTTCATATATATTGGATTTTTTTTGGTAGCCTTGCTACCAAAAAAAGAATTATTTTGATTCATGGAACATAAAGAGGATAGACCTGAATTCTACTTCACTGCTTCACTATTTCCTCAAATTCTGTGTCACTATTTCCTTAAATCATCTTTTTCAGTCAATGAGTCAGTCAGATTTTATTTATTGGAGCATGATTTTAATAATTCAGGACTGCAATGTGATCCCTATCTGCATACCGTGCAAACAAGTTCCCTTGTTTGGGAAAAGGAAGCATACATGTTTCTCAGTAATCATCCTAGGAACCGTGAGTGAGCTGAGCGCCTTGAGTAGGAAGAGATTCTGGTTCATAAGGACAAAGAAAGCTGGACCTTCTGGGAAGGAGCTAGAGAGAGTGTTACACAGGGTCTTCGCCTGTGAACAGCGGCAAGCTGTTGCAAATTCCTCCTGACTGAGATATTTACTTTCTTTTCTTTGAATCGAGGTCTCTAATTCACAACCCCCTGTCTCTGCTGGGATGGCTGGTGTGTGCCACTATGTCAACAAAACCCAGTTAGAGAGCTCTATTTAAAATAAGAGTAAAATGAAGGTGACCTCTGACCTCCTACCCTAACTCTTGCAAGGTACAAATATAGAGTGTCTGCGTCATGACTTTCTTCAGAGCAAAAGCAAGTTTTTCAGCCAGGTCCTCCAAGTGGTCATTGCAGAAATAACCACTGCTGGATGCTACAGCAAGCCTGAAGATGCTAACAGTCTGCAGCTACACCCAGAAGCTTTTTAGGCTCCATGCTGTGTGCAGAACCAAGAGCAACCTCAGGACCTTCCCTAAGGGCTCCTATAATGCATCTTCTCACATATACAAATCACAGGCCAGCCAAGACTTTTCCAAGTTAGGGTGAAGGCACTGTTCCAGAAGGTTCACTGCTTTGAATGTTGATAGATGCAGCTTGTCTTAGAGTTTCTCTTGCTGCAACAAAACACCGTGACCAAAAAGCAAGGGTTGGTTTGTTTTTTTCGAGACCGGGTTTCTCTGTAGCTTTGGAGCCTGTTAGGAACTATCCTTTGCAGAACAGGCTGGTCTCAAACTTACAGAGATCCACCTGCCTCTGCCTCTGGAGTGCTGGGATAAAAAGCTTGCACCACCACTGCCCAGCCAGAAAGGGTATGCTTGGTTTACACTTCAGCATTGCTGTTCATCACTGAAGGAAGTCAGGACAGGAAATCAAACAGGGCAGGATTCTGGAGGCAGGAACTGATACAGAGGCCATGGAAGGGAGCTGCTTACTAGCTTGAAGCCCCTGACTTACTAACCCCACCTTCTTACAGAACTCAGGACCACCGACCATAAGCTGGACATGCACACAAAATAAAATAAGGAAATAAGAAACAGGAGCCTCGTTCATGTTATGTGACTGACCTGGGAAGGTATGACTGGGGAATGTGCTAGTCCTGGAGTCTCTGCAAGCCTGGGCGTGGCCAAGAGGTCACAATAGTGTGAACCTTTCACTCTAACCTGCTGCGTCCCAAGAAAAATTTCACCGCCATAAAGATCATACATCTACCCAATAAAGAACTGGGCGACCCTGACATCATGTAATGATTCTTTCTCTAGTGTGACATTTAAGGCAAAATCCTGAGACATTTGGGACACGGTCTTCCCTTTGCAGCTCTAGGTAAGGCCCTGTGAAAGGAAGCTAAGAAGACAACTATGTGAGCTATTTTGAACGCTGCTAATATACTGGGTGTGGCCCTAAGTAGAACTGTGAATTGGGTGACATTTGTCCTGCAGGTGCCACCCCTCCACTTTCTGAACTCCTTACCTCATGACACACATACCTTCCACCGCCTTGACCCCATTCTATACCCTTATGATTATTCTATTTCTTCTTGCTCTGAACCAAAAGGCTAAACTCATTCATTGGTAGGCACGGTACCACCCACCTATAATTTCAACATTCAGGAGGCAGAGGCAAGAAGGATATTGATTTTAAGACTAGCTTGGGCTGCATGGACAGACCCTGTGTCAAAAATAAACAATAAATAAGTAAGTAAATAAAAACCATTTGCTCATGTCCTGGTTTAAATGAATGTGTGCATTTATTTCTCTTGTCTGGGAGTGTATTTTCAGTCTTTGAACAGAGGTAGAAAGGGCAGCAGAAAGCAGATAATAACATGCACACACACACGCACACACACACACACACACACGCACACACACCATTCCTCAGCCTAGCAAGAATAAAAGTTCTAGAATGATGATGTTGACACTGTTAGGACATCTATTGACTTCTGGAAGAAGTAAGACATGTGTGGCTGCCAGCAAAATGCCACATCAACTTGTGAGCGACGTGAGCATTCGTAACTGGAATCTACAGGCTCAGCACACATCTTCCCATCTTCCATTTTTATCCACATCCGTACTCTATTATAAAACAAGCCTCCAGATTCTTACAAGAAGAGCCAAGCAACTTACTCAAGTCTTCATTACTTGCCCAGCAATTCTTATCAGAGAGATGGATTTTAATTTCATTGCTGGTTGGGTGAATGGTTTTTAATAATTAATGGTTTCTTATTAATTAGAAAAAAATGTAACAAAAGGCTTGTGTTAGTATCATGACTGATTGTAGAATATACCCTTTTGCATTTTTGCTATTTCCTCTTTTATAATCTCTAGCATGTGAGTGTGTGTGTGTGTGTGTGTGTGTGTGTGTGAGAGAGAGAGAGAGAGAGAGAGAGAGAGAGAGAGAGAGAGAGAGAGAGAACCATGAAAAAGCCAAGGCTGCCACTTCTCCACATCCCCTCCTACCTGACTTTCTGTTCATTATTATTGTTATTATTTTGTTGTTGTTTTTGTGCGTGCACATGCGTGCATGTGTGTATGTGCACACATGAGCAAGAATGTATGATGTAAGAGGGCATGTGAGTGCCATGAGAATGTGTGGAGGTCAGAGGTCAACTTTGTAACGTTGGTTTTCTCCTACCTTTATTTGATCTGCAGAAATCCAGCTCACACCACACATCTGAGCCACCTCTGAGAGAGCCACCTCGTTTATCTGCTGAGCCATGCGGCCAGCCCTGCACCTAGGGTGTGTTCTTACTTCAGAACAAATCTACCTTTTTGTCACTGCCCTTAGTGAGGACACGAGGTGTCATATGCATGTAAGTGGATCCTTCCTATAATTCGGATAAGTGGCTCAGGCTGGCTTCACACTCTGTAAAGCTAAGAAAGATCTTGAACTTCTGAACCTTCTGCCACTGACTCTCAGGGGCTAGGATTACAGGTTTGTGACACCATGCTGAACTATAAGTGAAATTTTTATGGAAAATAAAAATCATGAATTTGTAAGATCTGTGGGGTAAAGTGTGGCACGTCATTTTATGTTTACTTGAGGAACGAGGAAAACCAATTGTAAAGGTTGATTGTTTTTCTGAAGGTCACTGAGGCAGTTCAACTGGGAGATAACTCAGGTTTATACTGGTTTGGACAAGGTTTCAATAGATTCACCCTGCAGTGGAAATAAACTGTTTCAGTCACTTATGGTAGTGGCACACACTTCTGATCCCAGCACTTGGAAGGAGGCAGGAGGATAAGGAGTTCAAAGCCAGCATGGGCTACATAGTGAATCTGGAGCCAGCCTAGGCTACATAGTGAGCTTGGGGCCAGTCAGGACTACCTGAGATCTGTCTTGAACAAGCAAACCCGATCAATAAAATCCGACTTCATCGTCTCAAGCATGATTGAATTGTAAGAGTGTCTGCCCCATTGCTAGTTAGATAAAGCCAAACAAATGGTACTTTTAGCAGGTTCCCTGGATGAAGCTGGCATACGCTAGTCAGCTGGACTTTCCGGGTAGACAGCAGTGAGCCTGCCCTGCCCTAGGTAGAACTCTTGGCTTTCAGCCAGAAAACCGCATTTAAGACTGAGAAAAACCAACTCAAGTTACAGAGTCAAGAAGGGACAGGGCTCCATTGTTTCTAACAATTGCTTCAATGGATGGAAATAGAAAACACTATCCTGAGTGAGGTAACCCAGACCCAAAAAGATGAACATGGGATGTACTCACTCATAATTGGTTTCTAGAGATAAATAAAGGTCAGTGAGTCTATAATTTGATTTCCTAAAGAAGCTAAATAAGAAGGTGATCCCAAAGAAAAACATATAGCTATCCTCCTG